CATCTAATATTAGGAGGACTGGATCAGTTTCAGTAGGATGTGTATGTCTTATAAAATGAGGAAACCAAATATCACTAAAAATTTCCGTTTGCATCCATCTAGATACTTCCTGGGGGCAAGTTTATTTTATAAATGGGGTTTCTTCGCTTGCGAGGAATAATAAGCAGGGGTGGAACATAGTGACTTGAAGCACTAACGCAAATTTCAGCAGTAATAAGAGTATAATTTCCCACAATAATTTAAAAAATACTTACTATTTATTCATCCAGAATTCAATTAACAATTAAACAATAATTATTGACAATATTATGATATTAGTCACAATAAAAACTGATAATGGATGCCAATGACAAATGACACTCCTCCCCCAACTCCCACTCTTTCCACCATCAATTGTGGATTTCGATTTCTGTAAATTGTGTGTACAGCGCCACAAGTGTTTATTCTTTGAAACTAAAACATGGTTTCAGTTCGGGATATACCTGTTACCGACACCTGTAGACAAGTGAATTAATTGCATGGCTTAAAGCACATTTAAAATCGTTAGCGTAGATGATGAAGAGGAGGGGAGCAAGAACCTAGCCCTGCGGTACTATGCGCGTCTATAGATTAAATCCAAACTGACACCTAAAAAGAAGAAGAAGAAGAAGAAGAAGAAGAATTGTACGCTCGACATACGTAAATTTTTCTAAAGCCTACTTTAGAAATCTTTTTTTCTCACTCCTTACTATAACAGCCTAACCATACACTAATTGTCATGAATATAGCTTTGTAAAAATACGTTTTTTAATGCGTTTTACACTAAACAATTGAACAATTTTGTATGAACAAAATAACTATTTAATTTTTAAAAATTTTAAAAAACTTAGTTTTATTTTATATTATTGTATTGTATTTTTGTATGTCTATGAGAATTTGTTTACTTATTAAAAAAATAATTTATTCTAATTAAGTGATTATGATTTATGTATACATATAATTATGACAAATCAACTTTATCTCTGTTATCATTATATTTAAGTTAATTCACAGATAATACCTAGGTATTTTTACTCTCTGTCCGGATAAAGTTTTCAGATGTTAATCTCGATGAATTGATTATGAGTCACGATCAAGCGTGCACAATTTTAGAAAGTTTGGGTTTTAAACAAGCCGATAATAAAATATAGACGATTATAATTCAGCATGAACTAAATTAAAAAGAAAATAAAATATGTATTCAAACATAAAAATCCATGGGAAACCCGCCGCCGCTTTAGGAATGATGACATTCAGAATAGATTGTAGCCAGGCACAAAGTCACAAAAGTTTACTAAAATTCTAAAATAACAGACAACCACTAAATCAGTTTCATAAAAAATTTGAACTGTATCGGGCGATATATTATATATTTACAAAATATAATTGTGTTTAAAAAAAAATAGTTTTCAGGAAAATTAACCTTTATTTTGAAGTGTGATGTGTTTCATTATTTTCCTGTGTTAGTTGTACGGGTTGCAATGGAGAGAAAATATATTTAGTTTTGAAGGAAATTCGTAGGAAAATCAATGCTTCCACGTGGTTTAGATATCGAAATTCAAAATGATTTTTCCATTATTTTTAAAAACTTCTGTTTCTTAAAATATCTTTACAACCCCTATGCACACTTCATGAACGTTTTTCAATAATAAAATAATGCCAGGAAGTACATTTTTCCCTAAAACTACTTTTAAATGCTAAAATTCCTACAAATTCGATATAAAATCCCTTACGAACAATTTATCTCTAAAAATTTTTCGAAATTTTCAGCTATTTAAATATACCATTTTTTTTTTTAGAAAGTTAAAAGAGAAAAGTTTATTGACGCAAATCGCATATTCATAGCTCAAATGGTTGCCTAACTGTTTAAAATAAAAGTTATTGGATTCAGTAGTAAAAATAAAGCCAAATTGGAGCCTTTAGTAAAAATGTGATTTCACTGTGTACGAAATGGCCGTACATGGGCGTACTAATTTGTCTGCTTGTGCAGAATGCATATCGCGTCGGTATTCGTTGAACCAAGAGACATTCTTAAAAAATCGCCATATCTCATAGTTTTAAGGATCAATATCTTGCAATAATCCATTTTGTAGGTCTCAATAAGTATATTCCAAATCACCATGGATTTGTTGAGCTAACTTCAAGAACATCTAGCTGTGGGGATTAAAAAAATCACAGTCAAAAATATACACGTGATTTTAATTACATCTTACAGATTTGGAGGTGTTCTTTCCAAAAATGTTTTGGTCGTTTGTCAATCTATACGGGAAATGCTTGAAAATCGCCGTTAAACGTTTAAAGATTATGTCCGATTTTCATGCAATGTTATGATCGCACCACGTCCAGATAAGTGGCTCAGCAGCTATCTACGAGAACTGCAGAGACACAGATGGGGCAAGACACCATCTCTATCCGCACAACCAGAGTTATATCCCCACTAATGTGGAGCCTAACCGTAGATGAACTTCTATGCAAATGGACTGACCTCGGCATACCCTGTCAAGGTTATACCGATGACATAATCATATTTGCTAGAGGCTAGTTTGTAAATATACTGTGTGATGTAGTCGTACTCCGAAGAGGACTAAAACATTTGAAAAATGGCACTGTAAAGGTAGGACTTAATATAAACCACTCGAAAACAACACTAGTAGCCATTTTAAGGAAAATGTAATTCGATCTCAAAACCCTCAAATTAGACGAAATAGATATAATAGAATGAAAAAAAGAAGTGAAATATGTAGGCCTAACCATGGACAAAAAACTTCTCTGGAGGAGAAAAATAAGCCTCATTGGTTAAAAATTAGTACGTCAGTCTCAAGCTCGCTTGGCTGCTCATAGTGCTCATCATCGAGCACTGCTTCATGAAAAGTCAAGCACACCACATGCGTTTCCCGTGGTAGAAAGGAACGATGTGCCCGCCATTATGTAAAATATAAAATAAATCAAGCAACGCGGCTTAAGATAATAAACTTCCGAGAAAAATGTATTTGTAAGTAATTCAAAAAGTGTATATTTAAATGTTAACAATGTACTAGTGTTAAATCAAACTGATTTTCATTCGTTTTTAATGCAAATAAATTCACATGGTCTTCTGTAGGAATCGAAACCGTATCTGGTTTTACCAAAAAAATGGCTCGCAAATGAATGCCGCGCCGTAGACACCTACGCTACGTAGTCGATGAATAAATTGAATAAAATGTGTTTAGTAAGAGGTGGCCTTTGAATGGTATTCAAATATTCTTTATTATTATAGTATTAGGTCTTGATTGGCCTTATTGTATATGTGGCGTGATACACCGGTTAAGCCTGTACATCGGTATGACCGCTGCAGATATCAAAGTAAGCCTTATAAGGAGATGAAGCCTACTGATGCTGAAAAAAATCTAAATAAAAATGGAAGGGTTGAGGGGAGTTGAAATGAAAAAAAAAACAGGAATTGAAAATACCAAAACATGAAATGTTTACTAAAAATCAAGCGCTATAAAGAAATGCAGCCTATTGATTCTAAAAAAAAATCTGAGTGAAAATGGGGATTAAAGAGGGTCTGTTAAAATGTGAAGAGTATATTATAGAATGCCAAACATTATATATTCTAATTTTAGTTTTTAAATTGGATATAAATTTGTGTTTTTGAACTTATACAAATAGTTTTCAAATAGTTATTTATGCAACAAGTGCAAAAAGTAAGTGTTTATTGCACGCGACGTTAAATAAACACTTTTTGCACGAGTTCCATACAATATTTTTTCTACGTTCATGCAAAAACCAAAAAATGTTTTATAGAACTGCAGTTGTATTATCCAAATCATAGTAGGCGTGATCGTGTACCTTTGTTTAAGGCATTTATTTATGTTTGTGTTCATAATTTGTAATAAAATTTTTAATAAAATACATTTTTTTATTAATTTATTTATTAAATGATTGAAAATAATATAAAATATGCAATTGTTTTTAAAACATAACACAGAAAATGAAAATGGACTAAATATTTGGCATTGATTTGAATATTTATATTTATTATGATCATAAAACGCTGTAGTAAAATGACAGATGAGTGCAATAAAATTTTTATTGCACTAGTGCAATAAAGAACCAGTTTTTTCTATAAATATAGTTGAATAAAGTTTTGCTTTTTGCATAAACGTAGAAAAAATTAATTTATGAAAGACAATTTTCTTCTACTTTTATTTTGTAATTTTACAAAAATAAGATTATTTTAAGTTTAAAAATATGAATTTTCACATAAAAACTTCCGAATATAAATTAAAATTTATAAACTTATATTAAATTTTTTATACACTTACGAAATAAGTTTTAGTTGCAAGCCGAAAATTAACTTGCAGCAAGTTTTAAGTTTCTATGTTTAGTGGGAAACAATAATAAAAATGAAAAATTACGACTATTGCTGCTTATTTCTTTTAAATATTATCCAGAAATTTGAGCTCTTAATGCCTTGTTAATAATTTTTTAAAATTCGCCAAAATTAGTGGCTAAAACGCCTCGTTAAGTGCTGCCTTCTGTTGTAACGCGACTGTAACTATTGTTTCATGCACTCTCAGTCATAATTCATTTCCTGAAATGATTTACACCAGTTTACACCAGAAGATAGCACTTAACGAGGCGTACTACCCACTAATTTTGGCGAATTTTAAAAAATCATTAACAAAACATTAAAAGCTTAAATTTATTGATTATATTAAGAATAGTGCTGTTGAGGAATGCATTTATTTTCATCATGATATTTCAAAATTTAAAGCCCTTTGATTTTTTTTTTTTTGGAAACTAGAAGGAATTAAAACTTTAAAAAATATGCATATTTTAGATATTATTGCCTAATTTATTTTGACAAAATTTAAATTTAAAAAAAAAAATTACTTTTTGAGATATCCTTGTCCGAAAATTATAAGGAGGTGCTGTAATCACCTTAATACTCGTCAATAGTAAACTACTAACACTTATATATATTTTTTTTATTTCAGGGAGCAAAAGTATGGATTCCCGATCAAGAAAAAGTATGGGAAGAAGCGGAGTTACTTGAGAGTTATTCCCCAAACAAAACATCACTCAGCATACTAACCATTTCAAATGAAACGAAAAATTTAAATATCAAATCTGAAAAAGATCTACCCTTCTTGAAGAATCCTAACATCTTACTTGGAGAAAACGACTTGACGTCATTATCATATCTCCATGAACCGGCTGTGATGCATAATTTGAAGTTCAGATTTTGCCAGAAAAATGAAATCTACACGTATTGCGGGATTGTCTTAGTGGCTATTAATCCATATACAGATGTACCGATTTATGGTTAGTATAGAAAGAAATGTTTGTTTTCACAATAACCAGTTTAATTTTATTTAATATTCGCTAAACACGTTCTAGTCAGTAAGGAGATCTGATAAAAGTAAAATAATCCCACTTTCACTTTCTTCGTAAATATCAAATCAGTAGGTATATACCGTTATTATTTTTTTTTATTATTCAATGTTGGCCATGAAAGACAAAATCGCTCACTCTGTATAGTATAACCACGGGCGCCGGCGGGGGGGAGGGCAAAGGGGCAGTTGCCCCCGTGGAAATTTGCAAGTTCCCAAAAACAAAAAAAATTATACAGTAGCAACTTCTGTCAAACAGTTGTTGGGGCATAAGCTTAACTGATAATAATAGATTGTATCGAGTGTTCAAAGGCAATACTAGATAAGTCGGCAAAAATAGAAAAATGACTTTTATATCTGTATCATCACAGTTTTTAGTGCTCTTTCTGTTAATATACTCCGTTTTGTGAAATTTTGTATCTGAGTATTGTTAACTGGTATTCCGAAAAATCTATATATGCGTAAAGATCTTTTTTTTTCCGATGTAATTTGATATCATATTGTCTTTATTTCAGTACATCTATAGTAAACGTCAATTTAGAAAAAATAAATAAAGCAATCCGTTTAATCGTTATAAGTAATATGTACTATAAACTGACGCAGGCAAACCATCAAAAGCATTTATTTGTAATTAAAAGAACAAAAAATACATAAACGGCAATATTTCATACAGCACAAACACATTCCGGAAATATTTTAAAAATGTTACATTGAAACATTTGAAATGTTGTAAAAATATTACGAAAACATCCCAGAAATATTTCTGATATGAAAATTTAAAATGTTTTAGAAATATTAAGTATTAATATTTCTAAAATTAACTCAAAAAGCTTGGTTCTGTTGAGTCTTCTTATTAGATTGGCATTGTTGAGAAACTACTTATAGGTAATTAAAACGGATTTATACAAATTATTTGATCAACAATAGTTTTATTAATATTATTTAAAAAAAACTATAATAAAACAAACAATACTCATGCCTAAACAAAACATGAAGATCCGCTTTTTAATCAGCTGTAGAACTAATAAATAAAACTGGTAGAGGGACAGCAAAAATAGGTTGTATATTTAAATAAAGTAAGACTAAAACTGGCTGTAAATTTGATAAACCAAATAACGTCACTCGAGATAAAGTAAATAAACCTGACCTAAACACCTCAATGTCTAAAGACACATTCTGCTTCCCATTAACTAAAATATTTCAGAAAATTTTGAATGAAATGTTATGTTTGGAACTTTTGAAATATTTCTGAAACATTCTAAAATAGTGTGTCCTGTATCGAATCTTCATAACTAAATTTTATTACTTATCGGGTTTTTGCTCTGGGCCTTCGGTATATATTTTAGAGTATCTAATCATTTGAAACGGTTAATTCGACAGCATTTGACAACCACGCCTAAGCTCATTATATTCCGTATCGTATTACACGATAGCGGGTAGCGTCTATAAATCCCTACATTTCTGTAATTTCTTTTAAACAATTCATAATTTTGCATTCTTGCATCCCCCCTGGAAAAAGTTCTGGCGGCGCCCATGAGTATAACCATTGTATATAGATCTATAGTAGGATACTCGCAATGTAAAAGTTATTGAATGCAATCGCGCATGACACCTATTGGTACAATAATGCGCTAGTTCAGTGTGATGTCATTTTGGTTCCACTGACATTTAATTCTAACCAAACTTTTAACATAAACATCAATAAATTTGACATACTGTTTTTATTTTATTTCAAAATATTGTTTACAGGTATGTAATTGGTAACTAAATGATTGTATATTTGATACATCTACTTACTTTAGGAATATATTTATAAAAGTGAAAAAAAAAACGATTTAATTTAGGTCACTTTAATTGTCATTGGAACCGTAATTACTGAACTAGCGCATTCAACAAACGATTGTATTTGCTAGTCAGATATACGCCCTCTACATTAGCTTTTGCATTTTTATAAGCTCAGATAAACAAATGAATAATAGATAACTAACGGTTTGGATCTGTTTAAAGCCAGTAAGAACAGGCACATTATAGTTCAAAAACTATATTTTACTTGTGTGCAGCACTAACAGTAAAGGCAATGCATTCCCTATTTCTTCAAAAATACCCTGCATTACTAAATAAAGTAAAATATGAATATTACTAAAATATTAAAAAAAAACTTTCACGTTCGCTTCGGGCGACTCCAAGTTGATGTCTGTTTAATTTGTGAGGAACTAGGAAGTAAACTAAGAAATCCGAATTTAAATGACAACGCTAAGCGTGTGGTGGCAGCTGAATTAATGGTGCATAAAAGGAGAGTCAAAAAATTCTATAATAAGTTACAAAAAGTTCAAAAGTTATGTAAAGATAACCCTCAAGTAGCTGGAATCACATTCGATTACATGCAAAACCTACCACTTCCTAATATTCCCGTACATGATTTTTTTTAGACAGTTATGGGTATATTTATTTGAGATCCAAAATCTAACGGACTCAAGTGGATACTTTTATACCTATCATGAAGGACAAGCTAAAAAGACGCCAAATGAAGTGTGTACTTTTTTACACGACTATACAGTGAGCATCATAAGTCTTACCCCACCTAACTAACTCGTTACTGGGGTCTTGTTAGGAAAATCGCCGAGACAGGTCGATTTTTGATTTCTACAATGTACATTTTTGCATGATTATTTTACCCTTAATTTCATCCCTTACTGGAGGGTAGCAACCCTTTTGAAAAATTTAAAAGGCATGGGGTGGTGAGTGATAGCTCATTTAAAAGGGGGTTTTATTCTCTATTCAACCGTACAAAAAATTTTAAAATTTGCTTCATTACGTGTTGATTTATTAATGTTTAAAAATAACAAAACCTCACAAAATAGGGAAGCAACTATACTAACAGTGACCTTCTAATGGCAAAAAGTCTTACTTCACGTCTGAACCAAAACCGAAATCATGCAGGGCCGAATTTTAATTCTAAGGATGAGTGCGCTACGTTAATTTCCGTTATTCTGAAACAACAATTAGTCGACAATTAACGAGTTAGATAGTAAGACTTAAGGTGCTCACTGTATATACAAAATTACATACCAGCAGAGGTTTAAGAATTGCATATTTTTTCGGACGGTTGCCCTGTACAGAACCGAAATAATTGTATGGTTCGATTTTTGTTGGCTCTTTAGAAAACTGAACGCTTTTCAAAGATTTATCATTATTTCCCAATTCGAGGACACTCTTTCCTACCTTGTGACTGTGACTTCGGTACATTAAAAAGAGCAGTCAAAAAACGACAGGGTTTATCTCCCAGAAGAATACGAGATATTATTGATTACAAAAACTGGTGGCCACAGTATTACAAAAAAAGCTGCAAATTTTGAGAATTTGTTTTTGACGCTACAAGTATGGCGGTATGATTTCCTCCACATTTAAACTGCTTAAACCGAACGTAAGGTCAGAGCTCCCAAATGGCAAAGCCTATTCCGAAACAGTACCTATCAACGATAAGAAAATCCAGGACTTAAGGAACATTATACAATACGTCAGTGGTGAAGATTTACCATATTAATTCATGGAATGTTACTACTGCCGAAACTGTTGAATAAAACTGTTTGATTACACCTTGTATATACTATTTCATTATCCCTTATATTTTATAGAATGGAAATATAACAAAATAAAAGAATAAACAATAAAAAAAAAACAATAAAAAAAAAACATTAAAAAAATCAACTGAGTGGAAGAAGGTTTCAAAATCATCAGATATTTTTGGCAAAAAATCTTATTTCCGATACGATAATAAATCTTATTTTTATGTAAAACAACTCTAAATAGCCTAAGAAACAAGTCACATGTGCAGACCAACTCGAAATTCTCCTTTCTTTTTGAAATAATTAGTTTTTTTCGTTTCCTGTAAAATGCCTTTGGTACACAAATATCTATTTTATTTTTATAAATGACATTAAAAATTTATGAAAAATGTATATTTCAACTCCCCCTAACCTCCAGATTTTTAATTACATTTTTTTCAAAATCAAAGGCCTATTTCCTCTTATAGAGCTTGATTTTGGCTAAAAATTTCAAGTTGATATCATTTTATGTTTTTGAATTAGGATTTTTTTTTAATAATTCAGCCCCCCCTTCTTAACCCCTTATTTTAATTTAGATTTTTTTCAGAATCAATTGGCTTTATCCCCTCATAAAGCTAGATTTTTCCTGAAGATTTCAATTTAATATCGTTTTTGTTTCTGAGTTGAGGTTTTTTTAAGTATTTTAACCCCCTTTTCTTTTTTAATCTCAACCCCATTTATCCCCCATTTTTATTCAATTTTTTTTTTCAAGATCAATAGACTTTGTCCCCTCATAAAAATTTCAAGTTGATATCATTTTTCGTTTTTGAGTTAGGAATTTTTTTAATGTTTCAACCCCCCTAACCCTCCATTTTTATTTAGATTTGATTCAAAATCAAGAGTCTTCGTTCTGAAATTTTAAAATTGATATCGTTTTCTGTTTTTAACTTTTTAACAGACGGACGGACGGATAAAGCGAATGCATAATACTCTTCACAGACTACTGTGTGAAGAGTATAATAAGTTTTTTTTAATTTGTAGATTTTACACACTTGTTGCACAAACTGCTATTATTTATTTCAATAACATGCAAACAGGAAGGTGCTATCACTGCTTTAGAACTATCTGAGATATTTTTACTCATAATTTTGTAATATAGGTACCTACTATTATTGAGGCATTCTATAGGGTGATTCAAAATTTAGTGCAAAGATTTTAAGGGCGTATTTACCAGTCAAAATTAAGAAAAAATTTCACATAATCATATGTCCTAACTTGCTTCGTTTTCTAGATACAGGGTGTCAAAGTTTTTTAAAAAAATCGGTATTTTTATCAATTACTCAAAAACCTTCCAGCCGATTTAAATAAAATTTGGTAGGCTTATTTGTCATCATAAGGGCCTTTCTTTGGTGAGTATAAAATAAATTTATGAATTCCAGTGGCGTCTCAGGGAGCTACCTACTTAATACTTATAGGTAAAATTATGGTACGTGTAGTGGTTATAAAATACAAGTGCTACGCCACTGGTAAGTGAGGTGCGCGAAGTGAAGGGAAACGATCGGGGTCGGGCGGTCGAACACCGGCAGTGGACAGTCAGGCTCGAGACGTTGTTACGAGCACCTGACAGAACAATAATTTTAGTTATAAGTTTTTATTTGTTATTTTTTCATTTGATTAAACGCATTTTGAAGTTAAAATACCTCTTCTAACCCACAAACCTTCTCATCCGGTAAGCGATCAATAATGTAACTTTCTTGCTTCTTCAGCATTACTCAAATCTAGCTTTGTTTTCAAGAAAAAAAAAATCAAAATCTGTGTCTGGCCCTATTAAAACAAGTAAAAATAATTACTAAATGATGGAGATTGTCGCCAAATAGGTCTGTCTTAATTTTTATTTGTGTTATGAAATTTCATTCATTATTTATTCCACTGGCGTCTCAAAGTGTGATTTTATTTAATTAATAATTGTTAAATAAAAACGATTTTTTTTTAAACTTTGGCACCCTGTATCTAGAAAACAAAGCAAGTTAGGACATACGATTATATAAAAAAAATTTCTTACTTTTTGCTGGTTAATACGCCCTTAAAATCTTTGCACTCAATTTTGAATCACCCAGTATAAGAAAAACAAATAATATAAATGGATATTATTTTGTCTTTTGAAAATCAAATATAAACTTTTTTTTAATTTTTAGATGTTGAAACAATACAAACGTACAGGCGGCAAGGGATAGGTGACCTCGACCCTCACATTTTTGCTGTCGCAGAAGAAGCTTATAGAAAATTAGAACGGGAACAAACGGATCAAAGTATCATCGTCTCAGGAGAAAGTGGTGCTGGTAAAACAGTGTCTGCAAAATACACTATGAGATACTTTGCCACAGTTGGTGGAAATGCAACTGAAACACAAATTGAGAAAAAAGTTTTAGCAAGTAGCCCTATAATGGAGGTTCGTTAATATTTAATTATGTGTTAGGATATGTTTAGATTCTTAAGAAAATAGATTATTCTACATGCTTACTTTAAACCTCTAATAACAAATACAATTATTAAAAAAAAAATGATATTTTCAATTCTTAAAACAATTAAAAGAGAAATTTCACATCTTATCCAAAAATAAAATTATACCGTTTAATAATATGCGAATACCCCATTTTTTATTTTTAGACCTCTCTAGTATACGACTCTTTAATTAATTTGATACTGCATCATCCTTTGGTGGTCTTTGCGATGTACTTATATTCACTTCCTTGGCTAATTTTTTTCTTCCATTTCTTTTTGTTTATTATCTGTTTAATTATCTTGTGTACAATATCCCAATTTTGGTTATATTTGGTGAATATTTCTGTGGTTTTCCGTATTCATAGTATCTTATTTTCCCCATCTTATCTTTGTAGAAAAAGCAGTCATCAGCATGCTCCTTTCCACTTTATTATACTCCATAAAGAACCCATAATCAGTGATAAAAAATAATCGAGTGTGCAAATTTTCTACGTATTAACTTCTTAATCCTTTTTTGGTTCTTTATTCCCTTTTAGATTGCCATCTGGATATACTTTTTAGGGTTCCGTACCCGAAGGATAACCAACGGGACCCTATTACTTAGCCTCCGCTGTCCGTATGTCTTCTTTCAAAGACTATCTGGGACGTAAACCCAGACGTGCAAAATTCTACCGATAAGCGAAGGTACCTCTTGTCACAGAGACGCCTGTACAACTCTTGCGAGCATTGCTTCATTCGTCTCTGTCAGTCTTTACATTATCTTTCCTCTTTCTCTTTATACTTTATAATCTCTATTAGTTATTTTGTTCCTTCAGCCCATTTCGTTTTGTCAGCCATAAATTTGGACATAATATTTTCCGGGGTTATTTCAGCTTCTAGTGACAATTCTATTATCTATCTGTATCATGCCCGTCTGTTGCATTTGAAAAATGTGTGTTCCACCGTATCCTCTTCGTTGCAGTATTTACAATTACTGGTAGATATCTCACCAATTCTGTAGATGTAAGCTCTAAGAGAGCCGTGTCCCGTAAAAAATTGACTCAGATAGTAATTTGTTTCTTTAAACTTTCAGTCTAACCAATTTGGAATATTTGAAATTAACCACCTCGTCCAAACAGCTTTGTTAGTATTCTGCCAGATATCTGTTGATCTAAGTTTTTCGGATCTTTTAACTTCCGCATCATTTGTTCGTCTGTCGTATAGCCTTGCTCCTTCATCTACAAGTATATTCAGAGGGATGCAGAGAGTGATTGCTTGAAGTGCTTCTCCTGATACCGTTCTATAGGCGGATGCTACCCTGAGTAAAATTTTTCGTTGTACTCGTAACACCAGATTCTTATATTTGTTTTTCCTTACTGCTATAGCCCATATTGGTGCCGCATATAGAACTGTTGATTGCACCACCCCATACATCAATTGCTTTTTGGTGCTGCTTGGTCCCCCATGTTAGTCAAGATTCTTGTTAGAGGTGTCACTTACTTCTCTGCCTTTTCTGCTATCTTCTTGACATGGATATTAAAAATGCCTTTGTCATCAATCCATACCCTCAAATATTTGACTGCCTTAACAGGAGTAATGACAGAGTTCCCTAATTTAAATTGAATATTTTCTCTAACTTTCTTACCTTTGATAATAACGCTTTCGATTTTTTCTAGTGCTATTTCAAGTTTATGTGTTTTTATCCATTAAAGTACGTCTATTAGTGCGTAATTGGCGTTTTGAATTAGGTCCTCTATTGTGTTAGTCTTTACTATCAGGGAAAGCTCTTCGGCATAGGCAACTGTGTTACACCCACTACCTAGTTGTTGTCTGAGAATCTCGTTATACAGAAAGTTCTACAGTATCGGATTAAGGATCGAACTTTGTGGGACTCCCTGGGTTATTTAGATCTCATGAGTATCCACTTGTAGTGTTCTATCTCTCAAGTAGTTTCAAATGATGTTACTTACATATTGATCTATTTTAGGTTCCTATAACTTGTTCATTATTAAACTCCAACCAGCCGTATTAAATGCGTTTTTTACGTCTATAGGAATTAATGTACTCCAGGTATAATTTCCTCCCTTTGTCAGATTCATTACAGATTCTATAGCATCTACTGTTGATCTACCGCTCCAAAATCCAAATTGTGCTCTAGAAATAGCACCCTTCTCCTCCAGCTCTACCTCAAGTCTTCTTTTTATTAGTTGTTCAAACAGCTTTCCCAATATATCGATTAGACAAATTGGCCTATAGCTAGTTCCCCCTTCGGGATCAAGATAACCTTTGCTCTCTTTCATGCAATAGGGAAGTCCTGCAGATCCAACATACCATTGAATATATTCAATTGCTATTTTCACTGACTGTTAAAATACCATCTAGACTAGGGCCTTGCATGTTTTTAATTTTTCTCCGGCTTTCTTAAGTTACTGAACATTAAAATGCCTAGCAATAGTTGGTTTATGAGTTGAACAATAATCCTTACATTCAGGAAAGAGTTTTTTAACATTCTTTAATTTTTCAGTAACCAGTTTGTAGCCTTGTCCCCAGACGTCTTATTCAAGTTGAGCACAGAGGTTTTTCCAACTTTCTTTTTTCGCCTTTTTATTCTCCGTTTTCAAGTCTTTTTTAGACTGCTTATATTCGTCTTCCAATCGCGCCATCACTACGTTGTTTCCTCTAGTTCTAGATATTGACAGTTTCCTTCTTGCTACATTACATTCTTTTCTTATTCTATTTATGATTTCGTTGCATTCTTGTGGTTCCTGCATGCCTTTCCAGGCTTGTATTCTGTGCGTTTTTTATGCAGTTCGTAAAGCTTTGTACCGTATTGATAGCATTTGAGCATGTGAGTTGCAGGGAGCATCTGAACACCTCTTGATCTAAGAGTGGTTTCCTTTTCCATGAAGTTAATTGTTTTCTGGTTGATATTTGGATTACAAAGCTAATATATTTGTGGTAACTGAGCGATTCTTTATTCCACGCCTGCCGGTTTTAAACAATTCTTGATATTTTTGACGTTGAAATTGTAATATCTATAAATGAGTTTTAAACACCCTTTACAAAAGTAGGAAATATTCCGTCATTGTGGACAGTCATATTTAGCGCTTGCATCACAATATATTCTCTCTCCTACGTGATCTGACCGAGAATTTCCCCAGGTTATTGATTTCGCGTTAAGGTCGCTCGCAACAACTGCTTCCACTTTTTCATTCCTAACCTTTTCCATGATGGTATCAATTATGCTTTATAAGTTTCTAGATCCACATTTGGCGATATGTAGCATTTATATAAGGCCCAATTCCCAAACCTTAATCTGATATATCCTTCACCTGTGGCATGCGTTATTACTCCACAGTTTCTGTTTTTTAAGTAAACAGCTGCTAGAGATCCTAGGGTGTCTCATCTAGTCTTTCTTTTTCGAAATCATGGCTTTATTGGATTCCTGGATCAACATAATATCCATCTCATGTTTCTCCAATGTAGCAACTGCCAGGTCTAGCGATTTTGCACTTCGGTCTATATTATTTTGAAGGATCTTTAGAGACATTAGGGTTCGTTAAGTTTAGTTGTCTTAAGTTGTTTTGCTATTTAATATAGCTAAGACTATCGCCTTGGCCGCACCTGCCTTTGAGTTGATTAACTCTAACAATTCCTTTTCCTTGGATTTGTGCAAGTCCGTATGTCTGTCAGCGGGCTGTATCGTGATACGTAATAGGTAGAGAATTGAAATTTTCACAAAACGTGTATCTGTGTGGCCGCTTTAATTATAAATAATAAAAACATTAAAAATTAAAGAGAGTTTTTTTTTTGGCTTTTTTTGCTCGATCTTAATAAAGTATTTAAAAAGTATCTACATAGAACCTTCATGCGCGAGTACGACTTGTACTTGGCCGGTTTTATTTCAGTCGGTCTCCTTTTTGGCATTTTTTAGCGATACTTGTGTTCTTTCACGCAACAAATAACTTCTTTTGCTGTGTTCTGTTAATTTACATTTTTATAGCTCTTTCCTTTGTTTTTTAGTGAGCACCTTCCTCCAAATCCAGATATACTGGACATTCTTGTTGGTCTTACTCATTTTCAAGATGAATTCGTATATTTTCTTTTTCCTCTGGGAGCTAGATTTAAACTTTGCTCTTGCATCCATTTGTTATCTTTTCTTTTTGAACTTCACATTATCACTACCGGTAGTTCTAGGTCGTTTGAGGCCAGAAGCACCGAACTCCATGTTTATTTTTAACTTTGAGTCCTTGTCTATCATATTTTAGACTTTGGAACTTTCTTCCCCCCTGCTCTCTTCCCCTACTTTGAAACTTTCTTCCTTCCCACTGCTCAATCCTTTAATAGTCGTAGTATTGTGTTTAGTGCAAACAGACTAAGCCTTTAGTAGTTGCAAGTCATTTTAATGCTCTCAATACTGCCTATTACCAAACTTTATATTTAAATGCAAAAATTGTATAGATTCTTTTTGCAGGCTATTGGAAACGCCAAAACAACGAGAAACGACAACAGTTCTAGATTTGGAAAATTTATAGAACTCCAATTCAATAAACAGTTCCACATTTGTGGTGCTTCTATGAGGACATACCTCCTAGAAAAAAGTAGAGTAGTGTTTCAAGCATCAGATGAAAGAAATTACCATATATTTTACCAAATTTGCGCAGCTAGACAGCAGTTACCACATTTACAACTAGGTAAGATTGACGTAGCTGTTGGTCAAAATAAGTGAGGTGATTACTGCAATTGGTCCGTTTGAAATTCATTTAAATATTTATACTTATTGCTTATATCGTTAACCTCGATATCTTTACCGACTTGCAACCAGGTTTCAGCTGCTCAAGTAGAAATACAATCAAAAGTAAATGCGCTGATTCATTTACATTACTACTATTAAAAATACCGTAAACTTGGCATTAATGTTCAACCAGATTATTGTGTTTCTGCCGCAGACGCCAACGTTGAGGCTACAGAAATTTTGTAAATAATCCTATCTCTCTTGGTTATATTTCTATGAGTTTGACCTATCTAATACTTTTATTTAAACATTATCTCTTTTATGTTTTAGATCATCAAAACAAATTTCACTATTTAAATCAAGGTGAGAGTCCAAATGTGCCAGGAGTAGACGATTTAAAAGAATTTGAAGAAACTGTGAATGCTTTAAATTTACTAGGATTCTCACAACAAGAACAAGAAGATATGTTCAAAATAATAGCCTCAATTCTACACATTGGTAATATTCAATTTACTGAGTGCATGATTAAAGTAGAAAACGAACAGGATCAAGAGGGTTGTCTTATTAAGGTAATTAATAACTTAAAATTTAAAATATAGTAAACGAATAATGAAATAAGTCATACATAATCACGGGCTATAAGACGGTAAAGGAATCCGGAATCACTTTCTCGGCACGATAGAGTTTGTTCCTCTCGAGAATAGTTGAATAGATACGGCACGTGACCACCGCGTTATCAGCATTTAGCTGCAAAACCATTGGACCAACAGATATAAAAATTATGGAGGAGGAAGCCATGAATGACCCGAATGGATAAGTGCATTTTGGGTTCGGAAAATCATTCTGTTAAGAAAAATCGAATTTTCCATATTTTATCCCCAAGAGCCACTCTTTTGTTTTACTCAACATCGATGTACTTTTCAACCCTCTTTGGAGCTTGCATGCAAAAATGGGGAACCTAAATCTATCACTAAATGACGGTCTATTTATTTCACTTGATATAAAAAGCTTATACAGGGTAATAGTTTTACAATATTGGTATACTTTCATAAATTCGTAAATTTAAAATTGTTATTTTTAGCCAAATGATAAAGGTTTGAACGCTGTTGCTGAACTCCTGGAAATCGATGAAGAGGATATGAGGCGATGGCTGTGTACCAGAAAACTTGTATCAATGCGGGACATTTTCCTAAAACCAATGACTGCGGAGGCAGCCGTCATCTCCAGAGACGCCTTGGCGAAACATATTTATTCCGAACTATTCAACTGGATAGTACTGATCATCAACAGAACGTTAGAATCGGAAGTTCCCCGACATCGGTTTGTCGGAGTACTGGACATATACGGTTTCGAAACATTCGATAGCAATTCTTTTGAACAATTTTGTATCAATTATGCAAACGAAAAACTACAACAGCAATTTAATTTGCACGTTTTCAAATTAGAGCAAGAAGAGTACATTAAAGAAGGGATTGAATGGAAAATGATCGAGTTTTATGATAATCAGCCATGTATAGATTTAATTGAAGCAAAACTAGGAATTTTGGACTTGTTAGACGAGGAATGTAAGGTATATAACTAATAATTATTATACTACCCCTTACCAGCATTTATACATGTTTGTACAGGTCTTTAATTAAGGGAGTATTGAAAATTATTGGATCATTTGTTTCTGTCCAAAAAATACCTGTTTTGCGATCTAATGTATATGTATATGATTTCTGGTTTCTTTTCATAGAGTTTGCCTCTTGTTCTTTTTAAAAATCCATCTCTTACGTTAGAATATTTTGCTCACTTTAATTTCATCCTAATCCAATTTTAATGAATCCTCTAGTATTATTAGATTTTTGTCCGTTTCCCTTTTTTCTTTTGATCCTTCTCTATAAAAATTTAACTTTTTCATTGTCTTCACTCCACTGATGACCAGGCACCATCAGGGTTCCTTTTATGTATATAATAGATTAAGAATTTACATCTTTGAAATTGTTGTAATATTCTTTAAATCTGACGTAATCATTACTCTTCTTGTGAGAAGATTTCCTCTTTAGGACAAGGAATTATTTATTTGATGCTGTACAAAGTCAAAACAATAATACTCATTATATTCTTATAATTGGAGAATCTTACTTTGTTTCACATAATTTTATGCACTACGTGGTAACAATTGAAATATTTTTTGATCAAATATAAAGTAATAATAAATGAATATAAATAATATATGTTTTAGATGCCACGTGGTTCTGACGGATCTTGGACAGAAAAATTATATACAAAGTGTATCAAGTATGCACATTTTTCCAAAGGTCGATTTGGATCTTCGTCTTTCGTGGTCAATCATTTTGCTGACAAAGTGCAATACGAAAGCAACGGCTTTCTAGAAAAAAATCGAGATACTGTGATAGAAGAGCAAATACATGTAATAAAAAATAGTAAAAATCACCTTATCAAGAAACTGTTTGCACCTGAAGATCAAAAATTGGCTACGACTAGAACTAAACTGAAAGTTGTATCGGCTAAGCCAACTCCAAATGTACAAAAAACACATAAGCAAACGGTTTGTTCACAAGTAAGTAACATATCCTTCTAATTTTTTTTTAAATACTAATAATTATTATTAATTTCTTCACTTACTACTTACCTGTTAGAACTTTTGTCTCTTGTGCAAACCTAAAATAAATCAACCGATAAAATAACACTGTAAATGTTCATTGCATAGCCTTTCAGTTGCACGTTACCAAATATGACGTAATATCATGTTTTCGGCATGTCTTTGATTACTACATGAAATTTGATGGCGACTCTACAAAATTTTGACCTTAGATAATATAATAGCAGATAGGCCACCACTGCATAAAGTTATACAATATTAATGTCGCTATCATATAATCTGAGATTTTGACAGTTGTCAGGATCGTATTCAGCCAAATAGGAAAAGGCTTTGAAATTAATAAGAATTGTGATATCAAAACATTACAAAATAAAACAAAATGTATTTTTAATTGATATTTATTATCATAAATAATATAACATTAGTAAATAAATTCTTAAAATTAGTTATTATAAAACAACAAGGATCACTTGCCGGATGAAACCTACAATAAGAAATTAGATCTGTTTAAAAAGTCACATAAGTTTTATTCGATAAACTAATTACCTTGGAAATCATTGAAATTTAACAAAACTGGTAACGTTAAACTTGTAGAATAACAGACATTTTTGAATACAATACAATAAACGTTTATTATGCGGAGTTGTCTTCCCACAAGTCTCAATGTGATTCGTTATCCGATTCGTTTAAATCAATGATTACAGCAGAGATATTACTTGCATCAATGATTTTTGCAGTCTCCCACTATTCAGCAATAATTTTTCTGGTATGGTCTATATACTTCTTTCATTTTTCTGGTGTAATCTACAATTACATAACAATTATAAACCATAGCATAAGAAGAAACTTTGCATTAAACCTGTTGAAGAGATTCGTTCCAAACACTAATTACAGTATCTGCAGTAATATGTTCTGCCGAAGTTATTTTTGCATCATAATACCGTTTACACTCCGACCAAACAAGTTCAATTGGATTGAACTGGCAATGATATGGAGGCAGTCTCAACACACCATCGCCATGCAAAAGAGCTAATCTATCTAATCTGTAAAATATGCATTTTTAATATCTTATTAAATTATATCATATCATAACATACCTGTATACTTTGTCTGGTCCATGTTTCTTGGCAATTTCTAACAGTTCCAACTTCATACTAGGCATTGGAACCTTTATATTCCTTTCTTTTAACCGATTTATCAGAGAAACTTTGTTCCAACTTGCATTTGGTATTCTTTCGAGCAACGTTGAATGGTACGGCGCATTGTCCATTATTATTAATGAGGGTTCTTCTAAGCTCGGTAGAAGCTGATATTCAAACCATCTTTCAAAATTATCAGCATTCATTGAATCATCATAATCGCCAGATTTACTACCACTTTTAAATATCAAGCTGCAGTCATTAATTAACCCATTTTCAGAGCGTGTCCAAGATTTCAATTTGACTATGAGGCCATGACGTATAGCAAACGGCAGCCAATGAAATGCCTGCATTGTGTCAATTGTAGTTATTTAATATCTACGTGTAGATCTCTCATAATTTTGTTGCGTCACGAAAATTTATAGTGGACATACCGTTTTTTGCATTTCTTTCATTAATGCGATAAAGCGAGATAGATGCCATATGACGTGCAACGGAAAGGCTATGAAATGAACTATATCCAATCCATAAAATTGTAAAGGTTAAATAATGACAACACAAGTTTGTCTGTCTAACACACTGATCTGTATTGTCTAACAGTTCAATGAGAAATATGTAAATATTTATCTCTCTCTTTTAAATCGTACGACTATTTTCAGCCAATCGGAAAGAAGCCGGTATAAGCAAGCCAAGCCGGTCTAAAGTTTTCTTTCACGGTTTTTAAATGCATTATTATATAATTCATTAAAGAAGATTGTTCACTAGTTCAATTCGCCGGAATTTAGACGTTTCACTTTCTTTTTACAATTCATATTTTGGCAAGTCCATCGATAATCAAAGGTTGTAACTTATTGTAATTAGTAAATGATTTAAATGAGAAAAAAGCTAAACCAATCTACAGAACCATCATAGCCGCCATCTTCTACTTTTGGATGTAAAGGAATGCTGTCTCAACAAGACAAAGGACGATTATCATTAACCCTACAATGAACTAATTAATTTTTCAATACCCATCATCACTTGCTTCTTTCATTGTATAATTTAAACTGCACTCAAACAATGAGAGTAGAATAATTATTAACAGGAAGTGTTTGCGGATTTGGATTCTAGATAGAATGGGGTTTTCAAAGCATTGCTTGCTAATTGTAGGTATCAAAAACTCAATTGAATCGGTGAGTCAAAGAACAGTACTAGTCCAAAAATGGCATTCTGAGTAAATAAAAAAAAAACTAAATAACTATTTTGTTATTTGACATTTACATCTCAAATTTAAAGCTATTTAAGATGAGTATAAGAGATCATGTTTCAACTATTAAAAAGGGTTGGTATCTGAAATATTTAGAAAAATATATTGTGGACATGTACTGTTTTTTAAGTCAATTATATAGTTTATATTTTATTTTTAATAGCCTCTATTTTATAAATAATGCAAGGTTGACAAATAAACTATTTTATTATAGATATTATATGATAACATATTTTCTGGCTTCATCGGTTGCAGATCTGGGCAACGTGATCGTGATAGTAAAATTCCAGCAATTCTCCTGTAATATATTGCATTACCTTCTTTATATAATTTGTTTTTTTTGCATTTATTAGAATTTGTTGTTGGTATGCACACTTGGTAGGTAAGAGTGGACAATTTTTATTTTGCTTTATTAGTTTAAAGCTATAAGATACTAGATCACCTATATAAAACTTTTCATTGCTTCCTACAGCAGCTGTATTTTTTTTTTATAAAACTGGGCCACCAATTTTAAAAATCTAAAATATCTCCTTAGGTAATTTGTTTATTGGTTAATGGTTTATTTTTTCGTCATTTTCTCATATTCATTTTCTAACGCATCTTTTTAGGATTCCAAAATCCCTATCACAGGGCAAGAATGAGTGACCTCTGATCGGAAAATATTGGAAGATTTTTTTAAAACGTGTTGTTGCTTGCTTGTTCAGGAATGTTTGATTCAAAGTAATCTTTGAGAAATGTGCAGACCACATCTAGGCCTTTCCTAGCTTGACCCTCATGGTAGGTATAGAATTTTGCAAAACTATCTTTAATATTGTGTATTTCAAAACTATAAACCCAGAGTTGGCGATAGTAAAATATTTCCTGAACAGGTATGTGAGGTAGAGGCATATTCTGTACATAATCAAATGCTATGCTATACCTGCAACATCAGGACGTTCATGGCATGTTGGGCCCTTCTTGTTTATTTCGGCAATCAACTCCAACACTCTCGTCAGGGGAGGACGTTTTAGTCAAATCAAATTTCACCTTTACTTTTAACTGTATTTATTTTCACTATAAAGTACCTTTCGGTTGTATATCACAATTATTAACAACAATTTTAACAATAACTTTTAACACTTAAAGTTGGATGAGGCAGTAAATTGAGGAAACCGAACTAAATTAGAAGAGATGAGTGGCATGGACATGGACGTCCACTCACCCAGAACGATTACATTGCAATCCTTATCAATTTGACCCTTTTATTCTAACTTCCGGCTCTCACTAACAAAAGGAAGGAAGGAAGTGGATATCAGAATTTAATAAGAAATGTTACACTTTTTTTCGCATTGTACCAGACACATTTGATAAATTACGTATATCTATATACATGAATAATAGTGTATCTAATGTTACTTTGTTATTTGACGTAGCAAGCTCTATAATCTAACCAAAAAACACTAACTGCATGACACTGTCATTATTAACCCGAGTCCCGACTCAGGTATTTACCGGTTATAATTAATGACGTTTCAAAGGGCTTAAATATGACGTCATAGAATGTAACCAAGAATAAGCAAAATCGCTTTAATTAAAATGGTAAATATTGCAAATTACCGGATAATCGCTTTAAAACGGTTATTATTCAAAACATCAACTTCAAAGTGACCTTAATAAGTGTAAAAACACTACATGTCCTGGACTTGTACTGTTTTTCCACTCATCCAGTTTCAACGTAATTTAAATTGCTGAATCTATTGTGTATAATATAATATGTTTTCGATCTCAATGGGTGGTGACTATGAAGACTAGTCTTCATAGTGGAGACACATGTTATTATCGATTTGACTAACTTAACTAAAAACGTCAATTTTTGGACTAGTACTGTTCTTTGATTCAATTGCAGTTCAATCCAGTCACTTACTGGATAGGTGACCGAAGTCGAAGCTCAAGCTTGATAAAAGGGAGCTAGACTCGAACCCAAGCTGGACTAGAGAAGCCTGCCGCAAGCAGAGAGATGTTTAACAGGAAAAAAAAATCATTCGAACAACTACAATAATCATACAAAAATCTAACAACCCATTTTTTTATTTTAAATATCTAAACGGCACTTGTGTTTTTTCAGTTCAGAGACTCTTTAAATAAACTGATGTCCACATTAAACGCTACCACCCCGCACTATGTTCGATGTATCAAACCAAACGATACTAAAACTCCATTCGAGTACAATCCAAAACGAGCAGTTCAGCAACTCAGAGCCTGCGGTGTACTGGAAACGATCCGACTATCTTCAGCAGGATTTCCGAGTCGATGGACGTACCTCGACTTCTTCTACCGATATCGGGTCCTGTGTAAATCGAAAGACATTGACAACAGAAATATTCAAAAAACTAGCGAAATTATATTAGGCAATTCCATTAAAGATTCTTCTACTTATCAATTTGGTAAAACAAAAATATTCTTCAGGCCAGGGCAAGTAGCTTATTTGGAGAAATTGAGAGCGGATAAATTGGTAGCCTGTTGTATTATGATGCAAAAATCTGTAAGGATGTTTATCTATAGGAAACGCTATATCAAAATACAGAAATCTGTACAGCTCATTCAGCGATATGGTAGAGGTGCATTAGCAAGGAGGTAATATTTTTATGTACTGTTTTTAAACTAGTCGGCAACCAAATAAAAATAACTAATTGACGTGTTTCTTTGACGTATTAACGATTTTAAACTAGTCGGCAACCAAATAAAAATAACTAATTGACGTGTTTCTTTGACGTATTAACGACGTAACAAATCACGTGAATTTGTCTCATCAATTTGACGTCATCTTGGGTCTTTTTACATCATCTTGGGTCTTTTTACATCGGGATACTAACGTCTTTCATTTCAAGTGACATTTTTCTGATGTTAATCTACTGTCGTTTTATCGACGTTTAAGGTCCAATTGCACCACTATAACTTGATCTCAGTCAGAAAGTTTTAGAGATGATGTTCGGCATGAAACCAACCTCGAGTTAGTGAGATTTTTCAAGATGTTTTGGTTTCATCGACCAATAATTTTTTACCGCGACATCTTGATTATGGGTATATAACTCGAGAGGATTACGCTCAACTACACAGTACCACAATTTCCAACAGACTTTGCTGTGTCCAAGCTGATTCTTTGGTAGTTTTGGTAGATGCTACCTATCTGCATCACAGATCTCAAAGAAAAACTTATTGCGTTCAAAAAAGGGACAATCTAGTTGTTTTCCGTTGTAGTTGCACCAGATGGATATATAATAGACGTTTCAGGTCCTCATACATCAGATGCGGCAAATAATGATTCATCCATTATTAATGCCATGGCTTTGAATAATAACGGATTTGTTACATTTTTTCGCGAGAATGACAACATTATTTATGACCGAGGATACAGAGACTCGACTGGTTTATGCCAAAATATAGGTCTAAACGTTTTTATTCTACATTTCCTACCAAATGGTCAACGGCAACTGACAACACAATCTCGTCTGGTCACCATGTTTAGATGGGTAGTCGAAGCAGTGTTTGGTCGATTACAGAATAAGTTTAGATTCTTATGGAATGTAGTTCCTAACAGTTATACATGTGAAACATTATCAAACATATTCCAAGTGTTATGTGTAATTTCAAATGCATTATTTCCAGCTATAACCCAAAACGGCCCAGAAGACGATGTATTCTGCAATCGTGTTTTAGAACTCATTAATAGGCCGAATAATTTCAAGGATCCAAGGATTCACTAATAGTTATTAGGTTAATGATTTCAAATTTCATTATATAAATTATAAGAACTTGCAAGCTTGCTAACAAATGACAAACTAAAAATAAGCATTATTCATTACTCACCTCGACAGTGTAGAACTAAATGTAGAACTAAAATGCTGATACGTGATACGTTTTTTATTAACTGTATCCTGTATCTCAATACTGGCAGGACCTACTGAAGCTTTTATTTATCATTAAAATGAACACTAGATTTAGGAAGATTTATGTTTTATGTTTTGGTTAATAAGTTTACATGACAGCCGGCTGCCATGTTGCCGAATCCTCCTTGTCAGTGCTTGTAATTATGTCGAAAAAGATATTTCAAAATTAAAAAAAAAGTATGTTCCGGGACGTTTTAAAGAAAAAAATTTTGGGAAATACATTTTTTTTTAAAATATCGTTAGTGAGAAAAATTTCTTACGGGGTCGCAAAAAAACCCAAAAAATAATACCCTCCTTTCAATAACTAAAATTCTAAAAATTAGTCATTCTTATAACAAGTTGGTACACGTAACACAACTTATCTTGAAAGTATTAAATAAGAACTTGTGTTAATTTTAGACCTCGTCGACCCCCAAAAACCGGTTTTCATGTATGTCAACCCCTGGTACACAGATTTCGACCTCAAGGAGTCGGTATCGACCACTTAGGGAATTCCTAGTTTAAAATTTGGCAAATAAATAATGAATTGTATGAATAACGGTGCAAAAAACTTCAGCTCCAGCGTTTCTATGTATAGCCTTTAGTTATTGTTTTATTTTTATAAAAATATCGTATATTACCATAATGTAATGACAATACTATACATGCTTAAATATATTTTATAGATTAGCTCAAGATATACGAAGAGAAAGATCAGCAAAAACTATCCAACGATACGTGCGTGGATGGGTCAAGAGAATCCAATACCAAAGGTTGAGAAAATGTATATTGGGAATACAGTGTCATGCACGAGGATATATGGCTAGAATTAGGTTTCTTAAACACAAATATAATCTCGCTGTAAGTTTTAAAAATTAACTAAATACCTGTCATTTTAGTTAGACTCAATAAATTCTTCAAGTATTTACATGATGTTCACAAACCAATTGCATTACAATCAAATTAAAATTGGGCCCATTTGATTCTTTAATTTTCCTAACTCTCGTAATTTCCCCCTTTTTTCTTCCGCCATATATTATTTGTAACATTTTTATTTCCCATGTATTCTACACCCTTCTTTAACAAGTTCATTTATGATTTTATATTATCTTGGACATTTGTTGTTCTTTAAGTTCTTTCTTATTCTTCTCATATTGGATTATGTTGGATTGTGTTGAGACTAATTATTATCAGTTTCATCTTTTTTATTAAATTACATTCCATTCCACCTTTTCAAATTGTTCTTTCTATATATTCAGTTTTTCATCTTTGTTCTTACAGTATATAAATTTTTATACCTGAAGTTTTTATTTTCCTTGTAGAAACGTCTGTATAAATAAAATTTTCTTGTAGATATATCCCCTTTTTCCTTTTAAAATTTATTCTTTGCATTTTCTATTTATTCTCCATAATTCTTGAAATATGTTATTTCCATCACTTTTATTACATAGCATTTTCTTTTCGGCTAAATTTATGTTTTATTAACTATTTATCAAACCAATCTTTATTTGTTATACCTTTTTTATATTCCCGAAATTCTGCCTCTACTTTTATCATAATTTTGGATCGGTATTATCATTACAGTGCTGGCAAGATTAAACCTTCGCTTCTGCCTTGCTTGTGTTGAAATGAATGGTAGTAAATGGAGGTCGCATATGCACGAGAGGAAAGGATGTTTCTAGTCTTACTCTTAGAATTAAATGGTGTCATGACATCTGTAGGATATACCAATAATTCTATTTTTTTCCAGGCCGTTACAATACAAAAATACGTTCGAGGTTGGTTGGCTCGAAAACAATTCAAACAGAAAATTAGACATATTGTTATATGCCAAGCTGCTGTGCGGCGCTATTTGGCTAGGAAACAATACAAAAAACTTCGAATTGAAGCGAGATCCATTGAACACGTGAAAAAACTTAATAAGGGATTGGAAAATAAAATCATTAGTCTTCAACAAAAAATTGAAACACTTAATAAAACTAACCACGAACTCAAAAATTACCAAAACGAAGTGCACGAATTGAAGTAAGTAACATTTTTATTCTATTATGTATCGACTATCGCGGTTGAAATTTATACGAAAATTAATTTTTTTTTTGCTATATGTTTGGAACTATCATAACGATTTTTTGCTCTAAATTTAAAATATCTTTAAGCCATAATGTAACCATGGGTTATAGGTTATAGGAAGGGGCAAAATTTAAAAAAAAAATTAGAATGTTTATTTGTTGGAGAACAAATAAGGTGTGATACAAAAATAGGAACAAGAAGACACAGCCATACACAATAATAATAAAAAATAAAATATTTATAGAAACACGAAAACATAAAAAATTTACTTAAACACGTCGACGAACACAAACAAAGGCTTTAGGAAAACGCAAATTTGAAATATCTTCTTTCTTTGTCAAAAATATCGATAACAGAAGACATAATTTCTTTTTGTTTTCTGTACACTCATCATGTATTTATAGCCCAGTCCAGTCGCCTATTTTCATTTCTTTTGTTTATACCATGTAACAAAAATAACAGTCATCAATGAGATTTTTTGGTTCTACCCAAATCATTGGCACACTATACTTTGATTGATTACGTTTACCGTTTGCCCACTGTCTTAAATGTTCACTACACAACTTGCTCACAATGTTTGGAACCCACGGTTTGTTCAAATTCTTCATCTCTATATTAAAGTATTCAACGTATGTCTTCTTCACTGAATCTGTTATAGGTTTTCCAAACTTTTTTACTATTTCACATTAATTGATTATAATGACATTAAGTACGATAAAATACGTTTTTTTTATCGATCCATACAAACCTGAATGAGGCTTCAAAATTTTGACAGCTTCGCAAGGCATCTTGCGGGCTAATTACCCATAGAATTAGCGGCACCAAACAAACATTTTTTTTTGTAGGCCTGTATATTATTCGCAATGGGGGCAATATTCAAATGTTTGTATACACAATTCTGAAAATTATTTATATTGACTTTAATGATCTTCTATGTTCCCTTAACAACCATTTTTATTTAATTTTCAGAACAAAACTTCAAGCTTTTAGAGCTATGGAAACGGAAATAAAGAACTTGAAAAATATCATTTTCGAGAACAATAAAACAATCGAAAAACTAAAAAGCGATATTAATATTGAAAAAGAAGAAAAAATGGATATATTAAATGAGCTCGACAGATTTAAACAAGATGTAGAAAATCAACGGAGAATGTGGAGCGAGGATACAGCTAAATTGCGAGAAGAACTAGAGAATATGAACGAGATCGTAAAAACGAGTGAAAAGGGCGCCGAAGAAAACTTGAAAGAGAGACTAGAAGCTGAAAAACTTCTAATTTTGAACGAAGCAGACTCAGACAGAGAACAGTACCAAAAACTGTTGAGTGAATATCAAAATTTGGAGCAGTTTTGCGACGAGTTGAAACTACAACTACGAGGCCAAGGGCATCTTGGAGTACATCGTCGAAACGTTAGTGATATAAGTAGTATATCAGTCATGGATGAACATATGAGTAGTGACGTACCAGAAGATTACGGATATGGTTCTGTGAGATCCACAGCAAGTAATAATTCTGTTAGGGAAAGACTAGATAATGTTGACTGGAAAATAGAAGGTAAAAGTAGAAAAATAATAATCATCTTCATCATCATCATCATCATCTTTACCTTTTCACTTAGGCGTGGTCAGCTACATGTATTTGTTCTTCTACTGTAGGACAGCTGCACTATTTAAATTTTATTAACATTTAGCCATATATCGCCACTAACAGAGTATTCAAGTAGTTTTTCTTTTCTTCCTTCAACATGTAACGCTACGCTTCTTTAGTGGAAAGTTCTTCTTGTCTTCTCTGAACTAACCACATAAATATAAATAATAAATCAATTTACTCTCATATTATGATCATCTAGGGACGCAACTTTTAAATTACTCCTGTAGATTTCAAATTTTGTTCTGTCTTGTGACTTGGTTTACCTACTCAACAATACTCAACATCCTCATGTACTTTATGCTCGAATTTTTCTTCATTACATTCTGACTCGTATATCAAAGGCTGGTTTAAGAACTGTTTCATAGATTTAATAATAATGGCACTTTATTAGTTTTAAATTTTACAACCAAATGACCATCGATCTAGGTCCTTCAGCCAGTAAAATTTGTATGGTATGTGTAAAGATTTGCACGCTATATGTGTAAGATGAAAAGGAATACTAAGATAGAAAATTTATGTGTCACTTATTATTATTGTTCATCGGAAAATTTGTTCAATATTTCTGTTATTTTTCTCACTGGGTATTTAAACTTTGCTTGTCCAATTTGGTGTTGAATCGAAAATATGTTTATTAGCATTTGATTTTCTCATTTCTTCGATGTTTTTATCACTTTTCTGATTTTTTTCCATGATATGCTGAATCTTAGTTTTTTTTTAGAGATATTCATTCGCTGGATGGTGTATGGGGTTTTCTGGATGTCGCATCTTGGTAATGATTCTTAGTGTAGAAGTTTTTTAATGCAGGTTTTCGGCAGTTTAAGTAGATAGTGTGTCCGTATTCCAGCAGTGGTCTGCATATTATTTTGTAGATTTTTAGTTACCGTGTAGGTATTGATACCGTCTTTTTTATATTTTAAGGAACGAAAATATTTAGCTCTGGCTTTAATTTTGTTTTCTTGTCTGCGAATGTATTCATTGAGGTTCAGGTTATTATCAATAATAAGTCCTAGATATATCACTGAGGATATGAGATGAGTGGTTGGATATTATGAGTGTAGGTGATGTTGGTCTTAGGTCATGATAGGGTATCATTAATTGACCTTTTTGTGGGTTAACTTGTAATCTCCATTTGTTGAGCCATTGAGCAACTTCGTTATATTGATTTGGTAGTGCTGTGATGGTTTGATTCAGTGTATTTCCATGCGATATCAGGGCCGTGTCATCTGCGTATTGGAGGGTGTAATTAAAGCAATATATGTTGTATAGGAGCGGAAAGAGTGGCGACCCTTGCGGTACACCTTGATTTGCTATGAAACTTGGAGTGATTGTTCATTTTTAACCGACTTCAAAAAAGGAGAAAGTTCTCAATTCGTCGTAATATTTTTTTTATATATGTTCAGCGATAATTCTTTAACATGGTGTCCGATTTCAATGATTCTTTTTCTTAGAAAGGGGGTACTTCAGGGGTTGGTCCCATATAAATTTGGTCAGAATCCAATAATTGGGTCCATGAGAAAATCCTCAAATTCTTCATTTTTTATGTATGTTTGGCAATAACGCTTTACCACCTTGTCCGATTTATATGATTCTTTTTTTTTTAGTAAGGGGGTACCTCAGGGGTGGTCCCATATAAATTTGGTTAAGATGTGGTGATATCTGATGGTTTTTTTAAATTTTTAATTTCTTATACTTACAATTAGATTTCTGTTTTGAAGGAAGTTTTTGATAGAAATATAAGACTATTGGACACAATAATAAGTTTTAGTTTAAATAGAAGGCCGTTGTACCAGATACAGTCAAAGACTTTTTTGGTGTCCAAGAGAGATTATTTATTGTTCAATTTTGTTGTTTGCACATTGGAAACCAGCAGTATAGTTGGTACTAGAACGGAGATTTGTTCTCTAAATCCAAATGTGAATTGCGGAATTTGGTCGTTTAATAATGCTGATAGTTTGTTTTTAATGAGTTTTTCGAATAGTTTTCTCAAAACTGGAAGATTGATCTGTTATTATCAATTCTTTTGTGATTTCTACCTGGTTTTGGGATAACTATGAAGGTGCCTTTTTTCCATTGATCTGGAAAATACTAGTTTGTAACATTTTTATAATATAGATGTGTATATTACATTCTAGATTTTTCACAATTTGCCAGGGAATCATGTGCGATCCTGAAGAGCAGTTTTTCTGATTGGATAGTATTTAAAAATATTTTTCCTTCTTGAATTCTGTGTTATCTTCTTCATTGATTGAATTGTCTCAGAAATATTGTTTGCACGATGAGTTTACATTGTTCCAGTTTTCTCGTTCAAAAGATGGGTACTTTTCTTCCGTTATATGTTTTAATGATAGTTATCATTGAATGCCATAGATTAGCGTAGGTGTCTATGGCGCTTGCAGTCAGTTGCGAGCCAATTGTGTGGTAGAATCCTACAGAGGATTGACATTTAATTGCATGGTTTTCTATAGGATTTGATGGATTCCATATTAGCAGAAATTTAATTTCTGTTGATATGACATCCAGATTTTAAAAATCGCCATGCGTTACCGTTTTTGATGATGGTGGGTGGGGGTTTCCGGGCTTTCTTCACCTGTAAGTGAAATGGCGCCATCAATCATCTTTAAGTCGGCCTGGAGTTCCATAGCTAATAATAATAATAATAATAATAATAATAATAATAATAATAATAATAGCCATCTTTTCCCCTATACAAGTCGCTTAGTCGGCTTCATGAGTTGAAATTCGCTCGTAAGAGGGTGAATTAGGGAGAGTATTATTATTTTTATTACTAATATTATGGCTACTGATCTAACAACCTTTAACTTATGATGAATTATGAAGCGACACTTTCATTACCTACGCTAAACTCCAGAGCAGAACAGAAATGGCCACAATACTGGACCTTGATGCAGACCTACCTCCACTTCTAAATCTGATTTGTTTTTTTAGAAATAGGTTATTCGTTTACGCTGTTGCTAGATACACGCTAAAGTGTACACAAATCAAAAAATTATATACACGCGAAACGTCATATTGCTGTGATGGGAGGTATTTGTGTGAATGTGTCTTGTTTGTTTTCATTTACGCCGTGACTAGCAGTAGTATTTTATAAACCTTAGAACCAAATTTCACATACATTAACAAATAATAATAATACCGTGACAACAAGAAAACGAAGCAACGACTTCTCGTAGGGTGGCGGCTTCGCCACCACCAGACAATTTCAATCCATACCTAGCTTCGCCGACCGGCATAAACACCAACGGCCTAGACATAGCTCACCTACTCTGTCAAGACGTTTCGCGTGTATATAACTTTTTGAATTGCGTACATTTTAGCGTGTACCTAGACACTGTGATTCGTTTAACCTCTAATACTTATTTCTAATAAACTTATCTTCCACAAGAACTGAAATCTTTGATCTAGGCTTTGCCACCTAATACATGTTCTTCTTCCTTTTTATTTTTTCTTTAGTCCTTAACTCATTCGAATGATAAACATTAGTCTTATTTTTAACATCACTTTTTTGTACAAGACCTCGGTGAGCTGAATCCTTATTCTTATTAGTGAGAGGATTCTATCTAAAACATGAATTATCTTCTAATTGACTAGTTCCTTTTGTTTCATTTTTTAAATAATAGGAATAATGTCGGTTCGCCATTCATTAAGAATGGTATACATATCATCCCTGTCCAGGCAAAGTATCGTATGCGCCATTTAAGTAATTTTACAGGAAACAACAAACTGTTTTTTTTTCGCTTTGTTTACGATTTCGGATTATGATGGATAGAAAGTAACAAATATTGATAATATTATAGCTTGCGGTATTTTATGATTTATGGGCGTATATGATAGCAAACTTTTAAATAGAAATTAAATGTTTTATAAGTTTTCTAGCACATGATATTTAACGTAAATTTCGGATGTGTTGAGCGAAAAAACTTAAAATAAAATTTTTCTGACTGGCCTAAAAGAAGTTTAATAAACATTCTTGTTATTTAACGCACGACAAGTGGTAGATTTAACGATTCTGAGACGTTTCTCACATGAAGCGTGGAATCTCGCAATAGCAGTAATGTCTTTTATATTTACATATTAAAAAAAGTCGAACATGTGAGAACGACATAGTCTGGTCAAGATCTAATAATGGGGTCCATGAGAAAATTATCAAACTCTTAGTATATTCAACGACAATTCTTTACCAAGTTGTCCGTTTTCTATGATTCTTTTTTTGTTGGAAAGGGGATACCTCAGAGGTAGTTCCATATACAATTGGTCAGGTTATGATGATATATAAGAAAATAAACAATCCCAGTATTCAAGGACATCGGCACGATTTTGAAGTTGTCTTTTTTAAATTACTTTTATTATATAGTTGTACTATGCTTATCTAAAAGGACCGAAGCGAGAAATTGTCAAAATTGAGTTAAAGGCACCAAGCTAGAAAGATTTAACGTACTTTGTATAAAAAGTTCCAATTATTAGCTCTACTCTAGTGCCATCTTTTGACCAAGGAACCAAACGACATAGTAGGAAATGTAAATAAGTCAACCACAATTCGGGCAACACCACAATCTCAGTTTCGCAAAAAATGTCGCTTACGTTACTTTGCCTAGACTGGGACGATATGAAGATTTTGTAGACTAGAATTGTTACTTGATAAGTAAGTTTTCTTTATTATGTCAGCGAATCAGTGTGTACTATTTTTAAGTTTCTCTTGGGCTCTTAAATTCTGGAACTTTTTTTTATTTTGGAATGCACCTGTGGTCACCGTCATCTTTCCCTCTATACAAATTTATTATTTGATATTATTTCTACTATCATACTTTTTCACACCTAATTTTAACTCCCAATCGCTTTATTGATCAACAACCTATGGTGATTAGTCAAACTTTCTTCCTGGCACGACCATACAATCCATCTCACAATAAAATACCTAATCTAGCTGGGAGTAGCTGTTTTAATACCTTCTTTATCTTCATCAATTTTGTTTTATATAAATTTAATATTAACAGGTACCAGTGAAAATCAAACGCCAACAAATACCAGTACGAGTGATTCGAACACAAACCAAGAAGTCGAAAATGAAAGTAATATTGATATTGGACTTGTGCTCAAGCTTCAACACAAATTAGCAGAAGTTGAACGAAATAAAGATAGAATGCAAAAACGTTTGGATGAACTCAGTACGTCTCCAAAAATAGAAAAGGCCAGAACCGATGCAGAAGTTGCGGCTAGAATATCAGAATTAGAGTTGTGCAATTCTCAGCTCAAAACTCAATTGTTCGAGTTGCAGAACAGTATTAATGAAGGTAAGCTATTTTTATTGTATTGTTAGAAGTTAAAAGAATTAACTTCAAAATTATTGTTTTTAAATTATTTATCACCCTGTATACTATAACACCCTGTATAGCCACTTCACAAAACACGTATTAACATGGTTTTATAATGTTTTATTAAATATTTCGTAAACAATGTTTGAAATGTAATTAAGGAACAAAATAAAGAACGGCATATTGCCTATCACTATATAGCGTTCGGCTGGTCGAAAGTCAAGTCCCCGCTCTCCTGGTCCTGGACACTGCAACAGGCAGACATGGTACCGTCGACCCCAGTGGCGGCGATATCCTAATTCGCTGACTCTTAACAGACACTGCAACGGGCAGACGTGGTACCGTCGACCCCAGTGGCGGTGATATCCTAATTCGCTAACTCTAACAGTATTCTAAAAATCCTTTACTGTGTGATAACCCCCTCTTTTTTTACATATCTAAGATACGGTGAAAAGTCTTTATGAAATAGAAATTATCATAACTGCAGTGACTTACTTGTATTGAAACGACTGGTGCTAATCAGGCGGCTCACACTGAAAGGCTTAAATACTCTTTCTGCCCTAAGACATAAATTAAGGTCAGAAAACAGCCAAGCTAGTATCTGTGGAGTGCATTCAAGAACGAGACCTATTTCATCTTAATATATATAGCACGCCACAATGTTTTTAGCGGAAATATATATTCAACATATTTACTTTAGATACAGGAAAGAATATTATTGTCCAACTAGCAAAGCATGATATTTTTTCAAAACTCGGGGAGCTTACGTTGCACTGACACCCTTCAGAGTCAACTTATCAGAGGAGTTAGATTGCCTCAACGTCTCTTTTGCGATGGAGGAATCTTGTAAGCTTGCAGAAAGGCGACCCGAATCACTAACATGTTTGCAAAGTTACGTGTTAAGTTCCATTAATACATGGTTTACTGGAGTATTATCCTAACAAAACTGGATTACTTCAGTGTAGGCTCTTTATTAATGGATATTACCAAAAAAAATTCAGTTGGTAATTATGCTAGACAGAAAGAGAATTTGGGTGGTATCAACACTTCTAACGAGCCATGTACATCTGAAACACCTGGAATTTATTGCACGAAGTGTGAGATCATATGTTATTTTATTAAATAGATATCCAGGAAATCCCCAAACAAATCCCAATGATGAAAATTATTGTTGAACCCCATGGTGAACATTTTAATAAAAAATTGAAAAAATCTGCTCGCAGGGGGATTCAAACCCACCTAGGTACTACTGTTCTACGCACAGCACTCATCCAACTGAGCTATCGCAGCTTTAAAACCGATTTTCTCGCCGTCTTCGTTTGCGTGGTTACGTATATTAAAAATTTAATAAATTTCAGACCACCTGAGGAAGTATCTGTATGCGGTTGCATGTTTCTTCAATTTCTTCAGTTTTTTGAAAATTTTAAAACGTGTAGTTAAATTCAAAATCTTGTATTCATATTGACAATTTGGAAATCATTAACTTTGTCAGCGATGGCTCAACTGGAAGAGCGCTTTGGGCATTATATATTTTTTTCGATTTGGGGTCAAAAAATAATTTTCAATATTTAGTAGGAATAACATTGGGATTTGTTTCGGGATTTTCTGGGAATTTATTCATCATATTTTTCGAATATTTAACCGATCACTAACTACTTACAGTCACTAATTAAAATAATTGAAAATATAAAATATAACAAATTTTCCCCACCAGTAATTGTTTCTAGGGATTAAAATTACTTAATTACTTAATCTTCTTGATTTATGTATTCATTGTTTGCTTGTAAATCTTTTTAAAATGGTTTCATTGGCGTACTTGTGACCAATAAGAAAGTCATTCGGAGTAAGTGGTTCAGGATCATCTGAGTCATAGGATATGTGAGTCAAGGGTCGTGAATTAATTATGTTCTCATGTTCTTCAGAGAGAGTTCTTAAAACATATTCCTGTGGATACGCATTATGAAGTGTTTCGGATAGACCTTTCTTTACACTTCTAATGAGCCTTTCCCATACCTCTTAAGTTGGTGCATATGGCGCATTATATCTAAAACGGATGTTTCTTGTCACACAAAATTTACTGTCTCTGTTTAGTTCAATAAGCGCATCCCGCAGTTCTCTGTCAGCTGATTTAAATTACTTTCATTGTCAAAGATTTCTTCAAGAAAGCCTATTCAACTTCCAAAAACTCTTAAAACTAGAGTAAAACCGTCAGTACTGAGATCGGGTGCTATTTCTAGGTGTACTACTCTTCTAGCTATGCATGTTAAAATAACTCCATATCGTTTTTCATGACTGCGTTTAACGGTAACTTGTATTGGACCAAAGAAGTCAACTTCATTTCGAATAAAAGGTCTTATTGTTGGTTCCAAGTAGCATTTAGGCAATTGTCCCATAATTGGTATAGTTTGTTGAGCTTTTCTATTTTTACATTTTTGACATCTAATCCATGCACTTTTTACACCAGTATTTTTAATGTAAATTATTTATACACGTATCTTGTCCATGATAAAGTTGTTCGTGGTAATGTTCTATTATTAATCTGGTTATTGCATGTTTGGGTTCCAGAATAATAGGTTTTTTTAAATCTTCAATAAAACCGTCAAAGTTGTTTAATGTTCAATTAAGACGAAGGATTCCATCTTCATCAAGGACGCAGTTCAAAGTGAACAGTTTACTACCTTTTCCCACAACAAGATTTTCTTTCAAATCACGAATTTATTCGAAAAATGAATCGAGTCAGTTCATCTATGTCAAGTTCTTTTATTTCTGACATAGCTTTTTTAAGTCACAATTTTGAAGGTTTGTCTTTTTATGATTTATTATTTTAACATTTCCTATAAATCTTAGCATCCATCCAGTAGAACGCAGTAATTTGGTCCACTTTGAAAAGTATTCTGGATTTGCAACAAAAAGATTTAATTTTGCAAAATTAATAAATATGTAGTCTTTCTTCCAATAAAGTGACCTCAATAATTTCTTTATCGCTTGTATCCCTTTCTTGAAAAGAAAGTCGTAGAAAGTTAGGTCCATGTACAGTTGAATCTAGTTTGTGAGTTCTTTTTGTTGCCTCGTTTGCAACATTTTCATTCGAGCTAATGTGTCTCCATTAGGTAGGATTTGTCAAGGCATGAATTTCTCCTAGTCTTTGAGCTACAAACATTTTAAATATTTGTGCTTCTAAACGAATCCATTGCAATACAGTTTTCGAGTCGCTCCAGGAGTATGTCTTTGGGACATTAAGATTGAGATTTTGTTTTAAATATGTTCCTAGTCAAGCACCCATCAATGCAGCTTGAAGTTCCAACCTAGGAATCGAAATTGGTTTGAGGCTTATAACCTTTGCTTTAGCATTCACAAAGGAAACTTCTATATGATTTTCTTCTCCAATTCGAAGTTATCCTACAACTGCACATGACCTTTCTGATGCATTACAGAAATATACAATTGTATATTACTTGATTTTCGATTTAGTGTAAAATATTGTCTTGGAATGTTAAATTTCAAAAATGTATCCTAAATCATTCATGCAAATTGTCCATCTTTCATTTAATGTGTCAGTTATTTCGTCGTCCCAACCTAATTTAGATTTCCAGATATCTTATAGTAAGATATTTCCCTGAATTGTGAAATTTCTAAGAAATCCTAATGGGTCAAATATTAACATTACTGCCTTAAGAATTTCTCTTTTTGTCGGACGTTTTTTTTTTCTCCAAAATTTCTTTGTTAATTTTGTGGAATGTTGCCTTCAAAGTAAAGGTATCGTCAATAGGATTCCAAAATACAGCTAATTTTCTCTCTATTGACTTTTCAAGATCACCCTGTAAGTTTTTTTGAGCTACATTTATCAAGGCTGGCTCAATGTTATCAAAAATTCTCTCTGAATTAGACGTTCAGTTACATATCGTAAATCCACCCTTTGAATTCAATTTTTTTGCTTCCTCAAGAAAATCTGCAGACCATAAATGTATAGCGCCTTTAATAATTATAGCCTTAGATGCTTCCAAATAGTTTTTCATAAAATCTTTTGCATTTCTGTTCTTAGCTTCTTGTGCAAGGCATGGTCCACTAGAAGAACCAAAAAAAAAAAACAGTCAGCTTGTAGGTATCTCTATCTCTGTCCATTTTTCTAAATAAGAATCTTTGAGCGGCATAATTTTCTTGGCGCACTTTAACTTATAAAAACATTTCTTTTATGTTTGAGTGGAAGCATATTTTTTAATTCTAAAATTAACTAAAACCTTTGAAAGGGAATTGTAAAAGTCCGGTCCAGTTAAAAGACAGTCATTTAGACATAGATTATGAGCAAATTTCATTTTGTCACAGTAAGTCTTTCCATAAATTTTGTCCTTTTTTTCTTTCGGTACATTGTAACCTCCGCATTGCATTGATACGGTTTTCTGGAAGAACCTTGTCTTCATCCTTCCATAATAATCCAGTTTCAAAGTGGTCACCAACTCTTTTATTGTTTTGTCTAAAATATATTTTGCTCTTATATCTACTCTAGAAAGACTTTTATTTATATTTTCTACACTTAGACTATCTAGTTTCTATTGATCTTTAAATAATTCATAAAGCAAATCCAAATCGTCTCTTTCCTTAACGCTAATATGATAAGTATATCCTTGTGATACGTTAAAATTATCTTCTTTTCCTAGATTACCGTGAATACCCTAAAAGACTTTTACTTAAGGCAGGTCAATTCCATGGCCGTGATTACATTTCTATTCACTAATAATGGCCAATTATCCTGTCCTATCAGAATTTTAAGTGTGGCATTCGTCATTGATGTACCTTTGTTATTAATATAAGGATAAATTTTAGTTATCTCACTAATATCCACAGTTTGAGTTGGAAGTGATAGTCCTCTCATGTCTTAATTAGAAATCCTTTGCCCCATATTCAGTACTGATGGTGAAGCTCACTTTACTCAAGTCCTGTTGTTCCTTGGTCTGATTGTTTGTCCACTGTACATAAGTGTTGATATTTTTATGGTTATATAGCGTATAGATACTGGTAGAATTTTCAAGAGAACACGAGTTTTATTGAAAATGTGACAATTTACTTGAGCTTCAGTCTCATTGATTATTTTGAAAGTGGATGGAAAAATTTCGACTTGATTATCATTCACATCATCCTTATGTAGAAGATTGTGATAATATCTCTTACAATTATTAATGCCACATGTCTTTACGGAATCAAACACGAAAAGCATATTTTATTTGTAGTCAGTAAACCCCATCTTTGATCAACTGTAAGATCTTTAAAGGCACTTAAAGGTACTTAAATTGTGCAATTGTTTATTGCAACAAATACATTACTTCTTTTTTGAAGTCGTTGTCATGGTTACGTTCCTTTTGAAAGAGTTTTTTTAAATTTTGGTGATTGAATTTGGCATGCCGTCATGGATTTTCTGCCGAGCCAAATATATTCTGTCCACATCATTTTATATGAGTTAGAGGTAACTTATTTATTAGTTCATGAAGGAAAATTGGATTCTGTGAGTGATCTTTAGCGTTTAACGATTCTATAGTTCCCACAAGTTTTTTTACTTTGTCAGAAAAGTTACTCAGCCTGTCCAGACGATCGTCTTTTACAATAGGAAAGAAACCTTATCTACTAGCATTAAAACAATATGTTCAGGTTGTCTGAATCGTCGTTCTAAAATATTGATTATTTTGTCGACATTATGGGGCATAATCAATACATTTTAAACGATAGTGATTTTCTTCTTGCGAATAGCCACATAACTCTGTAGAATGTTTAAACTGATAAATAAAATTTGGCCATTCGATGGGATTTCCTGTAAAATACAGCAAATCCTTGGGTATTGATTGTCTGATTAAAATTTTAGTAATATGCGCAGGTGTTATTTGACTACTGGCGTCATCAGCGGGATTATTTGGAAGAAATTTTGGTACAGTATTTTTTACCTCATTTATCGATTTCTTTAGTGTATTATTAGTATACAATTTATTTTTCTCTCATGGATTGTCTCCTAGCCATTCATGTATGTTAGGACTCAGACTCCTCTTCACTTTCTTCTATCATTGCTAGTCTCCTAGCATACTCCAGGTCAAGCATTTCCCGTTTATTTTTGAGTTTCTCTTGCTCCAATTATTTTCTCTTCATAGCAAACTCTAATTCAATTTTTCGTTTTTTGAATTCAGTAGTCTCATTAGTCTTCTTAGTTTTCTTACCTTTTGAACCTCGAGACTTCGGCGGCTCTAGATGTGTCGAAAGTTCTGGTTGCGTCATATTAGTAGGTTGTTTATCATCTAAGGTAGCGTCTTTGGTATTTTTGTTGTCTAGATTCTTTGCCTTTAGACGTTCACTCCTTCGTAGAAACATTTTCCACAGTGTAGTTCAGTTTAGACGAGAAGGACCATAATGTAATATAATTACCTGTAAAAGTCTTATTAGATCCCGGCCGAAGAACCGTTTTATCCAATATTTTTCATTTAAAAAAGTAATGCTAGCTTGATTGATTTTTATTGACTTTTTTCCACCGTCTACCAGATTTTTTGATAGATATCACAATGTCATTAAACTAACTACTAACACTTAGTTACTACTTAAAATAATTGGAAATATATAACATAAAATATAACAAGTTTATCTAGAATAATCATAAATAATAACCATATATGATAACATGACTGGCGGATAACGTTACGTCTAGTTTACCAGATGTTTGGGTAAGGAGGGTTTATTTATTATCTTTCACACAGCCTTCTATTAAGGTTGCTATACGTTAATAATTTTATCGAAAAAAATACATATTATACGACTACATAGGAAATAAATAAAAGGTAGTATGTAGCGTATGAATCTATATTGTGCTAGCAAGATCAAACTTTCAGGTCTGCTTTGCTTATGTTAAATATTCACTTTAACAAAGCAGTCCTAGTTTTTGATTTTTCCATACAAACACTTTCCGTCGATTCTTAGTTTGAAACAATTTTATTTTTAAATATATTTATATTTTTAGGAAAAGGCTTCCCTAAACTCCAGGAACAATTAGCCACAGCACAAAATGAACTAGAAAGACGAAGCGAAGAAATAATTCAGCTCAAGGGTGTCTTAGCAAACCAAACCAACGACATGAAATTTATGTTAAATTCAAAGACACGTACAGGTACTTTCGAAATAATATTTTGTTTTTATTTATTTTTACCCGTTTTACCTTTTTGTTTTTTATGTTAATCACCGAATCCTGACTCTACATTTATAGGTGAATACATAAATGAAGATGGTGAACTTGCTCAAGCTTATGAAACGCAAAAAACGATCAACAAACAGCTTGAACTTGAGTTGCAAGACGAAAAAGCGAAATATCAAGCATACGAGAAAGAACTTAAGTTGGAAATTGAAAGACTTCAAAACGACAACGAGAGACAACAACGAATCCTTTCCACTAACCTTCTGGGTTCCGGTCAGACTCAAAACGAAGCTTACATGCAATTACAAATTACAAGACTAACTTCAGAGAATCTCGAATTACATGATAAAATTGACGCTTTGAACGAAAACATTAGGAAATTGAAAAAGCAGGAAAGATTTCTAGCAAAGAAATTAAGAGATTTCGGTGGTAATACAATGCCTGACAATGAGCCTTATCAAAGTGATCTTGGATTATCAGTTCCCATTAGGAATGTACCATCAATACGTAAAAAAGATAGGGAATATTTGGGCATGTTTTCCTATAAAGTTGGAACTGAGAATGCCATTATGAAGGAACTTGTTATTGGTAAGTTTTTTTTTTTAATGAAACCCAACATTAGAAAATACGTACCGTAAAGTGGGGTGAACAGTTTTCAATATTCTTACAGTAACTAAACGGCTATGTTCTAAAATGCGAAAAAAAAAATGAAAATATGTGTCATCCTATGTAGGTTAAAGGGTGAATGTAAAATATATACGTAAAAACCATTTCTCTATTCACCTTAAGGTTAGGGTGAATCAAAACAGCCATTATATTCTCATGTTCTCAATTATTAACCCCTAGTTAAGGTGTATAGAAACACTACCACGCTTTATTTATATGTTAGAAAAATAATACAAACAAAGATAGATAACATTTTATTAAACATCTTTTCTTAAATATAAAAATAAACATAATATTCTGTTGATTATAAATGCAAAAAATTTCTTTGACACTTTAAAAAAAACAACACATTATTTAGGATACAAATCCTAAAAAAACATCTTTCTTAAAAATACCTAAATATTAAAATATTCTGGAAAATGCACTTTATTCGAGGCAGCTTTGGTTAACTGGAAATAAAGATATTCCCTTTTGGAACTCTGTGGATGTTCCGCATCTGTAACAGGGAAAAACTGGCCAACGATTTGATCATACCGAAATACACAGATATCGCGGACGTTCGGAAGAATATATATGTAGCCTTGGAACTATTTTGTTGTACGATATCGTAAAAAGCTGCCTTCGAATTCTTCATTAGTTTTATTGAAACTTAGATATTTTCCAATGTAATATTTAAATTTTATCATTTTTCCATATTCATCAAGAAATGCAACGGATTCTTGTATAGCATCTAGGCTGGTGGGAAAAAGATTATCAGAAGTTTTTTTCTGACATCTGTTTTTCACAATTTTTCAATTCTGCTTGTGTTAAATGCATCTCTTCATCAGACTCCTCTGATTAATTCTGTCCATTTTCCTCTTGTAAGTCAATATCTGTTTGGAAGCTTTCGTCCTCCGAACAGTTGTTCACAGGTTAATTTTCGATTTTATTTTCGCCGTGAAAATCGGCACCTGCGATGCTTTTGCCTACTGGCACATCAACCTTCTTTCTTTTTATTCTTTGTGATGGTTGGTCAGAATATCTGAATTTTTTTAAATAAGTCAAAAACTGCTTTGTTTACATGTTTCTCCGCTTCTTGATCCTCATTGTCCACATAACCGGGAAGTTGTTATTTGATTTGGTTTTATGATATGGACTATAAAGGCCTGGTTCGACCACTTCTAACGATAAACTAAGACGAGTACCAGCACAATTATCATTTATTTTTACTATAAATAACTATTAACACAAGATTTTTAATACTGTAGAGTTCATTGAACTGATCGTCCAGGTGATGTCGAAACAAAACTTCAAATCGTACTGTCTGTCTTGTGTGTTGCCAGATTTTAAAAACCTAAGGCGCAAGTTCAGTTGTGGAAAAGCGCCCAAAAGCGCAAGTGTCCAAAATGGGCAATTAAAATGCGAAACGCGATTTTTTTTATTACAGTATTTGTAATTATATTATTATGGAGAAAATGAAAAAAAGTTACTTCATTTTTAAAAAAGTATACTCATCTGCTAATTGGGAAATTCATCCAAATGACGTCATATTTTGAGATTCAGTAAGCTTTGGCTTAACTATTTAACAGGCTGTTAATTGTAACAACCGCTCATGTTTTAATTTGGTTGCTAAAACCTGTAGCAACGAGATAAAGCACATTCTAAATGGCTGATAATCGGGGTTATGATGGACAAGTAATGTTATTTTTAACAGACACGTTATTTGTAAACAGGTTGTTATTTCTGTGTGTTTATAAAGTAAAAGACCTGTTAAAAATAACACAGGTTGTCAATCATAACCCCCAAATGTATCAGTATGTTAGGACCGATTCCACCGTTCTGTTAAACGAAGTTTAAAATGACATTTTTACATTAACAACGTCATTTTAATCTCCGTTTAACACAACGGTGAAATCCACCCTTAAACAGTTAACAGTTTCGTGAATATGGAGGTAAGATTAATAGTGGAAAATCGTGAAGCAGAATAAATGCTTAGTTGATAACACTACATTATTTCTTTTTTTGAGAATTATTCAAATATTACAATAACTTATTAGAGTAAAAGAAGTCTTCTTTTCTGTACCGATCCGTTTTCCTTTGACATAATGTAAAAATGTCATTTTAAACTTCGTTTAATACAACGGTGGAATCGGTCCTTAGCCACACAACAACTTTTTGAAACCCTCACGGTTTTCTCTCTTACTTCGAATTTTAGATATGGATGGAAAAATATGAATAAAAATATTCCAGTCTACGGCGCAGTGCGGTTCAATAAAAGCGCCCAATTTGCGCTTTTCAGATTTTTTTCGGCGCAAATGACTGCTGGAAAGAGCCCAATTTGCGCGAAAGCGCCCAATCTGGCCACACTGTGGTACCGTCACAATCGGCGTGCATTCTCTGCAGTGTTGCCACGTCTTAGAGTTTTTATTATTAATCGAATAGTTGTTTTAAGACTTCCTCGCGATTGAGAGGAAATATTCCACATTTTCGGAAGCCTGACCTTATGTTTTTTTTCCCTATTTTCTTCAATGCTCTGATAAAGCTCCCTAAGAAAGTGGGAGAACCTGTCTTTAGGGATGCTGGAGGATGTTCTTCATCCGTTCATTTTCCATCTTTCGAAAATCTTTCTTCATGCTCCCTTCTAAGGACGGAAGAACGCAACATCCAGAGGTTAGTTGAAATGCGTCGAATTCCACCCAATCACTAAAAGATGCACTATTAAACCATCCACTGCCAGTTCTATTGTATCGGGCACCTTTTATACCTCCAGTTGTCCAAGATTCGTGCAAATATTGTGCCACAACATAAGGAGGAAGTAATTTTTCTTCTGCGTTTGCAACAAACATAATAGAGGTGCTAGCTTTCGAAAAATCGCAAACCCTTTCTAAACATCGGTATCCACGTTTAGAAATAACTTTTTTACGCCCTGGATCGTCTGAGATATTCGTCTCGTTAAAATTAAAAATATTGCTTGGTGGTACATCTCTCAACTCTTCTTGTAAGTGATCAAAATATTTAATAATATGCTGTGAAGCAGATGCCTGGGATCTTTTGGCAAATTCATTATGGCTTTTTATTTTTCTTGAATAAGATATTTGTGTTTTTTCGAAACTTTCAGCGCCTGTCTTATTTTTTGAGGTTTTACTTGCCGTTTTAGAGCTTGAAACTTTTTCTGTCGTGGACTTAACAACAATTTGTCTTGTGTCCTCAGACACGTCGTTGTGATTTTGTCTTTCGGACACCTTTGCTTGTCTACAGCTTTTCTCCCCATATCTAATTGGTGGTATGCTCTTTGTAGACCTCTTACTCTTTCGAAGTTCTTTTTCGGACATGTTTTACCCTCCTGATTTTATAGTAGCTCAAAGGACCAACTTTGTTCTTGATTGAGAAGCCTTTTGATTATATCGCCTTTGGTTTGTTACTATTATTTTAAAAGAAATAGTTTCTAATCTCGTTGCCAACCTTTTTTATTCTTCCGTCAAACACAATCTGACATAATACAGGACGAAACAAAATAAACCTAAATATTATAAATAAGTGTACAAAGTGAACTTAGATAACATGATTTTCTCATTTTTATCATCAGATGTATGTCTTTGTCCTTTATTTTTCTTTTTTACTGCTTGAAGCCCCTTTAGATTTCAATCAATTCTCGAATAAATGCACTCATGCACTGACAAAATTATTTTATTATTAAACGTTTAAGTAGGTAAAGTAAACAACTTCTACGCAAGACCGTGAATGGTGAACTTTATAAGTCAGCGACTCGAGGGGTAATATTTTATGCATATCTCAATATATGGCCGAAATCATAACTTCATCCGTTAGCCAATTATAAGACCAGATTTGTATACTTTAATTTATTCTGTAGTTAAGACAGCTGTATCCTCAGCAAACGATGCTAATTTTATATTTTGTTACCTATGGAACGTCACAGGTTAAATTATTGTTATATTTTAGATCTCAAACCACGTACTGCCGTAGCACTTCTTCCTGGATTACCAGCACATATCGTATTTATGTGCATTAGGTATACCGATTATAGAAATGACGAGGATATGGTTAAAACACTATTATCAGCATTTAATAACTCACTCAAGAAAGTTATTAAAAAAAGAGGTGGAGATTTTGAGACTACCGCCCTTTGGCTTTCTAACGCAAATAGGTAAGGCTTTTAGCTATGATTTTTATATTTTTTAAACCTACAAACCAGAGCGTTAGTATAAATAGAAAACATACCTATATTTAGGGCCAACAATGAAACTTTTATAATATATGTAGAAAAAGAGTGACCCTTTTATTTTAATCCGTCTAAAATAAAATTAAAAATATAACATTGAATGGGCCAAATGATATGATTCTAGGCTCCTATATATGGGGAAATTTACGACTTCTGATTCTTGACTCATTACAAATTGGCGTCACAACTTGGTTTCTTTTAGACATTTTTTTGGTTATATTTTTCTGGAATTTTTTGTCATATCAACTGGAATGTTTTTATCTTTATATTTTATCTATCTATATTTACAGTGACTTTTACATTTATTTGAAGCTGGTATTTAATACTGTAAATTTTTTTTGAAGTGTCTTGTCGATATTGAAATTCTATTTCTTACCTCGACAACATGACTTTACAGACAATTTTTTGTAAGAAATTAATACAGCTTATTGATTGATTTGAATCGACGAAAGTGATAAATAGATTTCATTTTAAAATAATAAATAAATACCTCACATTTATTAAACCTATTAATGAATTTTATCCGCAATATTTATTTTATAATAGTGACACCTGGTATATTTTTTTTTTGATTGTGTCTGATTGAATATTTGTCATGTTGTACCTACAATAAATTCGTAGATAATTAATATTAATTGAAGGTCATCATCATTGATTTGTAGAAAATAATTTTTTCGGGTATCGGTTTTTGCTCAATTAAAATTTTAATTGTATGGATTTGAATGTCTGCGAATGTTATACCTATTTGATCGTGTTTATTGTTGGTTTTTGTTTATTTTACAATAATGCTTTTTATTTATTATAGAATTATGAATTTTAACACGTTAACTGCTTTAACTTTTTTGAGGAATTTATTTTAAATATTTTGTGGTGCCTTGTCGTGGATAGATATGTTATTGTTGTACAACACATTTTTAACAATTGTTTTTTATACTATTTTGGGCCTAAAATACATAACGATAATCATCCTTTCTTATTACTACAGTTAAAGTAATTCATTTTACATACATACACTACCGACACTTCTCTTAACATCACGGTCCTGACCACAGATAAAATAACAACAAGAAGTACCGACTGAATCTCTGTCTGCACAGACTTTGCATTTAATGCTGGAGCTCTTTTTAAAGCAATGTTAATCTTAAATAGATGATTTCGATTAATGTTATGCATATTTTCAGGTTAGTAAACAACATGAAACAATACAGTGGTGAAAAAGCTTTTCAATTTCGAAATACGCCAAAACAAAACGACCAGTGTCTAAGGAATTTCGACTTATCCGAATATCGTCAGGTATTTTCTGATACAGCTCTGTGTTTATATCATGGTAAGTATTTAAAAATACAAAAATAGAGGTTGAAATTTTCGCTTTCATTAAAATTTGTATTTATATATTAATAAATAATTTTAGGATTGATAAAAGGCGTAGAGGATAAAATTCAGACACTAATTGTACCTGCAATTCTCGAACATGAAGAAATTCCTGGTATGAGTGGAAACAAACCAAGTGGTAGAAATAGATTGGGTAGTACTTCTAGTGTAAGTACTCCTACAGGAAGTCAAAAACCAACGACAGCTCTTCTCACTGAATTAACAAACCACTATAAAGTAAGCATCCAATTCAATATTATTTATATTTAATATATTTTCACTCTTTTTAACCGACTTCCAAAAAATTTATCGGATTATTTTTTTTTATTTATATTTACTTATAATACCACTAGTGTCTAAATTTTTTTCGGAATTTTTTTCGAATTCGGGAGTGAGCAAAAATTTTCAGACAATAATTTTGTCACGTGTGGTATAGGGACCGTGTCTTATGACTTAAACGCCATCTGGTGACAGAAATGTCAACTTTATGGGTGGATTTATTAATGTTTTTGGCGTCATTTATTTAGTAATAAATTCGAATTATTTTCGTAATACCATTATCGAAAAACCATCCGTGGATGTACAAACACGTCACTTTGAAAACGTGGATTAGATTAGTTAGTAAATAAATTTTATAAATTTTCACAGAGCACATTTGGTGTCTCACACCCAATAGTAGTTAAGCAGCACCGATTCTAGCGCAAAATCGACCATTTTTACATGTAAATCTCTATAAAAAATCTAAGGTCCAACGTGGTAATTTTTGATACCAAAATTCCAGTGGCGTACTAGAAAAATTTACCCCTTTGCTATGTTAAGACTAACTGGTCAAAAACTTGAACTGCTAACTGATCAAGATATGTTTCTCTTTATTGAAAAGGGAATACGTGGAGGTCTAAGTCAGGTCTGCTTAAAAAGAAAAGCCTATGCAAACAACAAGTACTTACTCCACTATGATATGTCAAAGCCGACCAAATGTTTGATGTACTATGATGTTAACAATCAGTATGGATGGGCGATGTCGCAATATCTACCTTATGGAGGAGAGTTCAAATGGGTGGATACTAATATTGTTATTATGTCAATACATGATCATTCCCCTAAAAGGTATATTTTAGAAGTTGACTTGGAATATCCGAAAGAACTTCACAACGTTCGTCAGGATTTACCCGAACACTTTAATACTGCAACTTTGAGACCTTATTTAAAGAAATCTAAATTAATGGCAAAATTACAAAACAAAGAAAAATATGTGATCCACTATAGAAATTTAAAACAGGCGATAAAATATGAATTAAAGCTAACAAAAATTCATAGTTTTAAAATTTAACCAGTCCCCTTAGTTAAAGACTTATATAGATTTTAATACTAATCTAAAAAATTCGAAAAATTAATTTGAGAAGAACTTAACAACGCCATCTTTGGAAAAATTATTGAAAGTGTGAGTAAATATCTTAATGTAAAATTAATTCAGCAATAGCAGGGCGTTATGGTGCCGAAGCAATTATATCAAAAACTGAATTTAAATTATGTACAAAATACTCAATGAAAATTTAGTGGCCATAGAATTACACAAACTCCAGATATTTTTAAACAAACCTATTTATATTGGAATGAGCATTTTGGATTTGGCTAAGACAACTATTTATGACTTCCATTATGGGTACATGAAAAGTGAATTTGAAAATAGTTCTTCCATTTTACACACGGATACAGACAGTCTAATCTATGAAATTCGAGATCATGATCTATATAAAATTATAAAACGTGATTATACGCATTATTTTGATATCAGACTATTCACTAAACAACGTTTACGGAATTCGTCAAGTTAATAAAAAAAAGTACTAGGTATGATAAAAGATAAGAACAATGGTATACTAATGACTGATTTTATTGGTCTTCGTTAGAAATTAAATACCTACTGTAAAAATTGTTAAAACTGAAGATGCTATTGTAAGGGAGTACGTCTTAAAACAGAAGAAGAATATGACTCTGATGAAATTTAAGATATTTTGTTAAATGTTGGATTAATTAAGAAAGCAAAGGGCGTGAAAAAATCTATAGTTAATACTATAATAACTTTTAAAGATTATGTGAACTGTTTGGAGATATTTACAAATATGATGTTTCGCAAAAATTAATTCGTTCAGATAAACATCAAGTTTATTCAGTGGCTCAGAAGAAAATCGCCCTTAGCCCCTACTTGGTACTTGAATCTTACAATACCTTACCATGGGACACTACAGCTTAGCAGACGTTCCAACTGGATTTAATTAAATACTTTGTATTAACATGTTATTATGGAAAATTTAACTGCTTAATTATGTATGAGAAAAAAATAAATGATTTAAAACAAATAAGTGATTTTTAAATCCTAATAATTTAAATATAAAAATAAAGTAGAAAGGGGTATTTTTCTAGTCCACTCCTGATATTTTAAAATTAAAATAAATTTTATTATGGGGTAAATTGTTTTAGTACGTCACTGGAATTTTGCTTTTAAAAATTACCACGTTGGACTTCAGATTTTCTTATGGAGATTTACATGTAAAAATGGTCGATTTTGCGCTAGAATCGGTGCTGCTTAACTACTCCCATTGATACATAGATTGCTCATCCATATGCAAATCAGACGACGAAAAGCGTATTTCACTGGGCAAAGTTTTCTTTTTATCTATCTTTTATTAATTTTGAGTACATTTAGAGAACCGGTTTAGAAATTAGAATCTTTAGTGTTTTCTTGTCATTAAGATTTTTACATATTTAAACGCACATTTTATATAAATATAATTTTACAGATAATTAATGGACTATTTTGTTAATTAAAACTTATAAAACTCTAAAATTAGAGTGTCCTATTTGACAAAAATATCATGGCCCTCTTTACAATTTATTAACTAATTCTCATTTATCACTAAAATAAACAAACCATAATTAAGACATTAAAATTACTGCCAAAAGAGATTGCAACAAACTTTAAAATATTAAAAATCTAGTGATTTTTTGTAAAATTTTATTAAAATGACTATTAAACATTTACTCAGAATAATAGATAAGTGTCCAATTACATCTCTTACCAAAGTTGTTTATATCTCATATCAAAGTTGTTTACATTACCTTTTCAAAGTTGTATTACATATTGCAATTATGTATTTTATGTACTGTTATTTCTGAAGTGGTCTAAAATTATTTACATCCATCTGTTATAAAAATTGTTTAGATCTCTTAATGTTATTTAACTACATGGAAACTCAACTTTCAAAAACATAATAACGTGTCTTGAAGTAAAACTTTAATTATTTTCCTTTTCTGAAGATTAAAATGCTGAAATTTTATTTTAAAAAGGCTCTACTAGGTGGCAGTATAGCAGCTCACATTGCAACTTGCTTTTCGTAATCTTATTTACAGATGGGCGAGCAATCTATATAATTATGTATATGATTGGGTGTCTCATAAATGTCTAAGGTGGATGAATGATATTTCGACTAACATCAAGCTAAAAACAATTATTAATTTTAGAAATAAATACCTACAACAGTATATATTCTGTGCTTTATTTGGTAATAAACAAGTTTACTTTTATTATTTTGACAAAATTATGTAAAATTTCCATAAGAAGCCATGTATTTTGAACAGCGCTAGCAACACCGGCGCCATTCCGGTGAATTAAAAAAGCTCAATTAGAGTTTGTTTTTTGGGAACGTATTTTGAGTATGCCGATTCGCCTCTTTATCTCTAGTCATCATAGTGCTGTCTCTATATTTCATGCACGGTACCTATTCGGTAAGAAAATTTTACACCAAAATATCAAAATTTCAAAACTTGACAGACATGCATTAAAACGACTAAAATCAAATTTGCAAAGTTGGCCATGTCAGTTATCCGTTTTGGTTATATTTGAAGTCATTAAGTCGATGCGAAAACCCTAATTATTATTTTACTTAAAATAAATATAGTGTATTTCTATCTATAATTGGTATTAAATAAAATTTTAACAATTGAAATGGCATATTTGTTAATCACACCGTCGCGCGCGTCCTAATATCATGTGCATGAAAGAGTTTTTGAAATGTCGAAAAAACTTCCAGTGTAATTTCGTTCAGGGTACCTACCAGGAGAAAAATTTCCTGAAATGTTTCTGGTTGTCATGGAAATGTTTTAAAATAACAGCATTTGATCGGCTATTAAATAGAGGTGTAAAATTTTCTGCGATAATTCTTTCCCACGTTGTCCGATTTCTATAATTCTGTTTTTGTTAGAAAGGGGTGGTCTCATATAAATTTGGTAAATATCTAATAATGAGATTCATGATAAAATCATCAAACTTTTTTTTGTATGTAAGTTTAGCGATTACCACGTTGTCCGATTTCTATGATGCTTTTTTTATTACTAAGGGGGTACCTCAGGGGTGATGCCATATACATTTGGTCAAGAACTAACTATAAGATCTATGACAAAATCAGAAAACTCATTTTGTAATGGCATGATTTTGAAGTCGGTTTTTTAAAATAACTTTCTTCTACGTTCATGCAAAAAACAAAACTTTATTGAACTATATTTAGTGAACCAACTGGCTCTTTATTGCACTGGTGCAATAAGTATCGTAATGAAAAATCTGTATCGTAATGAAAAATCTGTATCGTAATGAAAAATCTGTATCATAATGGGTATCATTATGAAACGGATTATGGGCATATAAGTGCATTATTATAATACGGGTGTAGAAAAAAAATTTATTGCACTCATCTGTCATTTTACTACAGCATTTTATGATCATGACAAACATAAATATTCAAATCGACGCCAAATATTCAGTCCATTTTTATTTTCTGTGAGATTGTATTACGTTTTAAAAACAATTACATATTTAAGGCTTAATTATTGTCCATAACACAATCGTTCCTAAAGTTTTGGTTAAATTATTTTTCCTAACACAGTTATAGTACTCTTTCAATGTTAATCGATGCTAATTATTAGTTATTAAATATTTTGCTATTAAATTACGCTTTTTATTCTTCTGCACTCAGTGTCGCCTAAATAAAACATTTTTTGCTTTTTACATGAATGTAGAAAAAATATTGTATGCAACTCGTGCAAAAAGTGTTTATTTCACTCGACGTGTAATTTCACGTCGCGTGCAATAAACACTTACTTTTTGCACTTGTTGCATAAATAACTATTATATTGTTTATATTTTAATTGACATTGTTATTTCCAGATGTTAACATACTATGGAGTTGATATGGAAGTAATATCCCAAATATTCAAGCAAATATTTTACTTCATTTGTGCATCAAGTCTCAATAATTTACTATTGAGAAAAGATCTTTGTAATTGGTCCAAAGGTATTCAAATCAGGCATAACCTCTCTCATTTTGAATCGTGGACTAAAGATAAAAATTTAGATGTGAGTATAACGAATATTATTAGCAGTAGCGTATATTTTAAATAATTTTTTGTTACAGGAACATGCAATCCGAATCACTCTTGAGCCAATCATACAAGCAGCTCACTTACTGCAATCCAGAAAAACCGAAGAAGATGTAGAGAGTATTTGTGATATGTGTAGTGCGTTGACGCCTCCACAGATATGCAAAATACTCAATTTGTACACTCGTTTAGATGAATTTGAACACATTCCTGCGAACTTTATAAAGCTAGTGCAAGCAAAGTTGAAGGAGCGGCCTGAAAGCGGTCCACAAGTAAGTTTTTAGTATTAATTTCATTGTTACAAAGGGTGTCCCATTGTGCGTAATTATTCGATATTTTAAGTTGTGTTATAAACACGCTGTATTTTATTTCTTTAGAATGATCTGGTAATGCTATATTCAACCCTAGATTATTATTACCAAATGATGCAGATACTAAATAAAATTATCATTATTAAGGTAGGTCATTAGCAATGATTTCACAATTGTTTAAATTACACTTATAAGGTACTAAGCTAACGAATAGTTATGGCAGAACTCGTTGTAAATATGACTTATTTTAAATTTTATTTACAAAAAATAATAAAGGCAACACACTGTATATTATTTTAGCATTTAATTCGTTACGAGGTGATGATGTTCTCAGTTTTTTCAAATAAATACTTTGTACTCGGATGTTATAGCACCAATTAATTAATTTCTTTACTTTTTATTTTCTTTTGCATTCCCGGTATTAAAATGCATTTTTTTAAATTTGCAATGGTATAAATTACTTGTGACGTCAGGGGTATAGGATACCATCTATTATTTCTAACAAGTGAGCTAATAAAAAATAAATTTGTATTTTACCATAAATAAGTCCATATTTTCAAAGCCAAATAAAAAAGTCAAATTTTCTTGCATTTTTTAAATTATTATCCACTTAATAATATTATTGGTAAGCATTAGTGTATTAGCAACTCTGCCTTGTATAATATATTTGCAGTCAAGTTTTTCAAATTCCTTATCATCGTTTTCTTTAGACCCCCCAACGCTGATTCTGATCCCAATTTTTTTAGCCTCTTTTCCTCTTATTATGTACAATCTTTCCTTGTCAACAGACTATGCCGACGTTATTTGTTTATTCGAAGTAGTGTTCCACTGATTATTTTTTTCGTAAAACTTTTAACCAATTAGAACGTTCAATTTAGTTAAGTTACCTCGTATAATTTCGATAATACCTGATTATACATAGAGTAGCTCCACCAATCAAAAATATTTACAATAATTTCATTTCCGTAGTAACCACATCGACAACAATACACTAACTAACAGGACCGTCAAATTTTGACGTTTATCAATAATTAATAATTGTAATTTTCATTGTACCAATATATATTTAAATTAATAAATTGTTGATATTTACTTAATTTACTCAAAAAATAATCGTATCAAATACAATACGTACTTCAAAATAAATACGGTTATACATCTCAAACTTCCTGCATAATTACAAATCGTGTCAGTTTGACAGAATAATCCTCCCGCTTCGCGGTCGGATTATTTAAACGGTCAAACTGACACTCTTTATAATTATGCAACAAGTTATCGATGTATAACCTGATTATTTTGAAGTACTTATAGTATTACTACTGAAAATTAACTTTTGACAAAAACAAACCATTCTTTCATTGAATTTGACAGATCCTTAATTAGGTATTCCAACGACCTGTCAAACAATAGGTACCAGTGGGAAATTCTTGTATATTTAAGGGGGTAGCGACATAGTCTTGCAACTTGGACGCTATTTTTATTCGAAGTAGTACTCGCCAAACCTGCCAATTTATGAAGAAATGTATAGGTGGGTTTTTTAAATATTATTTTTATTGTGTTTGACATAAAATATTTAAATGTAATCCATTATTCATGATTTTACGTAAAATAGATAGAATACACCATATGTCGCCACCCTTAGATATACCAAACCTGCCCACTGGTAATTCATTTGTTTGGAATGCCTAATAGGTATCTAACCAAAATATTTATGTTTCAATTAATACAATCTTAAAAATAATAAAATTAGAACCTTAATGAATACTGATAATCTCATTTTTTTTTAAAACTACTGTCACTGCATCATCATCACTAATATAGCGTATAGGTTTTACTTCCTGTCCTATAGTCTAGCCACAGCTTACCATAACAACCAGTTCGGGGACTCAGATATGGTGGGAACGGTTGTCGCCGATATCTACGTCCATTGATCTAGCCCCGTCTTTCAATCTACGATCCGTGGTTAACCATTGAGGTGGTATTATAGTAGTCTCACAGCTGGTTGTTATGATAACCTGTGGTCTAGCCATGATTTCCATTTATATTTACTAATATTTAGCACCATATTATACCCCAGACTGTTTTATTGAAAACAGTACCCCTAAAGTCCAATTAAGTACTCAATGAGCTCGGTGTGAATATATAATTTAAATAAAAATTTTGTTTCAGGTTTTGCTTATAGACGTGAAGTACAAATATCCAGTGCGATTTGTGTTTAATCCATCTATTATTTGTTTGGAAGATGTAGAAATACCAGAAGTGATCAACTTACCTATGCTTGAAAAGCTTTAAATCGTTAGTATTAATATTATTATTTAAATAATTTAGTATTGGATTTAGACGGGAGCGCAAATGTAACTTAGAGTGGAATAATTGGATTGTTACAAAAAAAGTGCATTTCCTAACTGGTTTTTTTCTCTTTGTTAAAATAAGAAAATTAATATTATTAGTTCCTTTGAATATATAATTTGAAACATTAGAAGTGAGTATCTAGTAGTTTCACATTATAAAATTAAGCAACCATTTTTGGTTAAAAAATTATTGTTTCCACTTTTTTAAAAAAATACAATAAGTATATTTAATATTCCATACGTATTCTAATATATTTTCTTAATATTATTTCAATAAAGTAAGGGATATACTTTAACTTATTGTAACTTTTTAGCAAATCAAGCTAACAACAAAAAGTAAACGAAATCTAATTGCTTAAGGAATGGGATTTTATTATGTCTTTAGAAAACAAAAGCGTTGTCATGACAATTGTTGACAGGAGTGTCAACAAAATCATTCAATTTGGAGTTTATTTTCAAATTAAAACTCAAGTAAACGTAAAGTTGTAACGACTCAAATTGTAATAGCATGGATCTACAAACAAGAATTAGGCATTCCAACGACCTGTCAAACTGCTGACAAGTTGGAACCACTGAACTATATATTAAACTGGAAGAACAAAGCCGATCAACAAAATCAAACCGCATAGCGAGGCGATATTTGACACTTCGGTGCCCACATGTGCGTATCGAAATACACTGAAAAGGATCATCAAAATTAAATTTAACACTTATTACATTCAACTACGACACCTTTTAATTTAAGAAAATATTATAAAAATGATTTTTGATTAATACGCAGCTGAAACAAATGTTCCAATAATAATAATTATTAAAATAGGGTGTTATTAATAAAAAATAATATAATTTATCATAGTACGCCCGTGAAAAACGTGACGTAGAATGCTCGAAATTGACGGTCTGGCGTCCAAATTGTCTTGCGCACCGACCGTTTTTTTCACCCATGTCGGCTTAGAAATTAGGAGTAGGGTTTATGTCATTTAGCCAGTTTAATATCAAGGTCGGTGGTTGGAACTGACATTTAGATCTGGCAACCCTGTGAGCTTGTTGTCATTGACAGGGTCAATGATACATATATAGTTATATAGACTGCTCAAAGGGGGTCGTTTACGAGCGGCCATATTGCCTCGCAAGTGCTCATTAATCAGAATCGATTTTGCCAATATATTTTTAAACTTTTTCAACAAAATTCCGTAATGAATAATGGAGTAAAACTACTGAAAAAAGATGCCCTCAAAAGTAATACCAGTAGCCATTAAAAAAATTTTGAGATCTATTAAACCCGATTTTAATTTATTTAAAAAAACTGCACTCCGACAGGTTACATTTTTTTTACATATCAACCCTTTCGCGAGACACAAAAAATGCCAGCAATATCATGTTAGATTTAGAAATACACTGTGTTTAAGCTAAATTCCGAACTTCGTTGTAAAAATTCAATATACTGTCACTTTGCCGGATTCTTTACACCAGAAATAGTAAAATAGAAAATTTTATTGGCATCGGCATCTGGAAGCATATATTTTAACGCAGGCAAATAAAACAAAAATCCATCAACAAGTGACTCTGAATTTCACAGGTCACTTCGCTCCTACCTTAATTTACTGAAATGTAACAAATAAGACAAAAACGTAATACATACATGACTTCTCTATTTTTGTACTTATATTTGAGAAGTTAAAAGTCCTCAGATCCTCTACAACTTCTCTGTTCCTTGTTTTTATGTTTTGGGGAGCTAAAAAAGGTCCTCTCTCTCCAATTCAATGTTGTATTCGTGTTCAGCGTCCAGAATTGGGTCAAAAGAAATATTATGGTCACCCTACATAATGCACCAACAATAACAGAACATAGAACAATCTTAAGCAATATAATCTTTTCAAATTGTTTAAAAAAATTGAATTTGTCATTGAGTAAAGACGACAGAAAAAAGAAAAATATATCACAGAAACTGGACTTTTCTATAATATTAAATACTAGCTTTTCTAGTTTTACTTTTGGAATTTTATTTTTTTAATCGCTCGTTGCCCATTGATCGTAAGGAACTAATATTTTATTAAAAATACCTATTTGACTAGTTTTTCATAGATACCTATCGACAAAGTGAACCCTTTTCATATTGTTTAAATATGTTCCACTTAAAGTTACATAGGCGTGTTTAAATTAGTGTCTATGTATATGTATGTATAAATAGAAAAAAAGGAAATAAAACGTATTTGATAATCGTAGAAGTAGAAAAAAAAAAAAGGGAAAATTGACCACCCTGGAAAGTATAGCTTTATGATATTAATATTTTTTCGTATAAATATACGAGATACTTTTTCACAGGGATAATATTGGTATCTTCTAAATTCTGAACCACAAGAGATACCAAGGGTTAAACAGGAAAAAGTTGAATAAGTAATTTAATGATAGTCGACGATATGAGGAACTGTAAAATATTTAGAATAAATTAAGTGGATCCCATATCATTTATTTATTATGACTTCTTTGTTAATGCAAATCGAAAAACTGAATGAATTTATTGTTTGGTCCTTCCGTTTGCTTTAATTGTTAAAGAAAAATTCACAATAATATGTTTGGTTTGTAAAGGACCACATCAACTTTAGCAATACTACGTATTTTACTATCTCTGCGAAAAAATATCCATGTTTATTAAAGCGTTGTTTTTATTATAATTAATTTATGAGTTGTGGTAAAAATTTAACTCTACAATTTCTGTAGATATTTTATTCCGTTTTTTCTTTACTTTACTATATTGTCAAAACTTATTTAATCCCAATGAACACAGACGTAAAAATATGTTGATAGAATTGTATTTATCTGTATATCAAGCAAAACTGCTTACCAAATTAGTTAAAACTGTAACTATTTATCTGTGTTTATTAGGAATATTATTATTGTATTATAGATTTAATTTTGTATAGGCCTATTTTTAAGTTTAGTCAGATTTATTGTAAATATTTTTGTATATATATAGTGTTAAATAATGAGATTCTTTATATATGTTGATTGAAGAGTAATAATTTTATGTATGTTGAATATGTTATAAAATTTATATCAAAGCCAAAATACAAAGCAGACGTTTATACATTAAAATGAACATTTTATTTAATAAAGTGAAAGTTTTAATTATAATTTGCATTATAGAACCAAATTTGGGAAATTACTTCGTTTTCGTAAGCAATTTCGAAATTTTTGTATATTAAAAGGTTAACGATTCAAGAACAGAATAAAACACATGTAATTTTTTAATTTACTAAATGCTACTACTGATGGTAAGACAATTTGAAAAATTTGCACTAGAAATCGCAACTAAATCTTCCTTCTTACTAAGATGTACCTACCTATAATTCTGAAAAAGATACTTTCATAAAATATGTATCTCTTCATAGTCCGTCAGATAGTGACAGGTTTAGCTGTCCCATTTTCGAATACAAGCCTTGAAGAGGGTTGAAAATCAATTTTTAGTAGAATGAAAGGAAATTTACGAGTGGCTGCTAGGGATAACACATGGAAAATTCAATTTTCCCTAACAAAAACGAAAGGTTATTTGTTGCCCATTTTTCCACACAAGCTGTTTTCACTATATGATTAATTAATAGAACTAGGCTTCGGAAAACCAAAGGCTTTATTGTTGCAAGTAGCTAAAGGGTTGAAATAAGGGCGTAAACGTTTAAGGAAAAATCGAGATTTTGCCCGATTTTTCCACACAAGCCCATCGAATGTTTGAAAACGTACGTCATCACTAGTCCGAAAAACATATTTTCTTGAATGATCCGAAAGTGCGTTTTGGGGTCCGAAATTTTTTTTCCATGTGTTATCCCCAAGAGCCACTCCTAAATTTTCTTTTATTCTACTAAATATCGATGTACTTTTCAGCCTCCTTTCAAGATTTGTATGCAAAAATGGGGTACCTAAATCGGTCACTATCTGACGGTTTATCAGTTTGTTGATTAATTATTCTGGCTAGTTCTAACTTGCATCGTTTATTTTAATAGTAATCAATTGAATATTATTTTCAAAATATTACATAAAAATTAAAACGCTCTCAGCAAATTATTCAATAAAATTACACAAATATGCAATAATATTAATTCTTAATAATCGTTTCTATACAGGCTGATTAAGTTATACTCCGGAGTTTGATATATCCGTTGTTTTAAAGGATTCGAACAAAAGTTTTAAATACAAATAATGAATTATTTCTTAATATGTGTTTCATAAAGTCACAGCATACCAAAGTTGTTTTTTTAGTGGAACACTCTATATGTTATCTCGAATTTGAATTTTGCTCATTTTCTCCATTCCGGCAATATAAAGTTTTATCAGGTTCTACAGGGTAGAGTAAAGTGCCCTAATATCGGATCCTTTTTTATTAGCATTAATATTAATTTCAATCTGTCAATAAATTGACGATATCTTTTCAGCAAAATAAAGGATATGCTATACAGAACCATATATTAAACAAAAAAAAAACATGCTAGCTAATAAAAAGTAAAATCGAAATTCTAAGAAAAATGTTCAATTCTCGTTGACAAACAAAAATATTCCTAATCCTATCCGGTATTAGGACAAAAATGTAAAATTAGCCATCGAGACAGAAATCATATATATGCGTCTTCTTTGTCTATATTGGCACAGTGGGTATGAGCCCACTTGAAACATTTTGACCACTTCATTGTTCACCTGCTTTATCTTCAGAGAAGAGTCCAGAACAAAACATACATTCTGCTTCCTCTTCCCCAATGTCACAATCCATGTCAGAATCATCATCTAAAACGAGTTATTCATCTTCTTCAGATGAGCCACTAGATTCCTGGTTCTTAACACTCTTCTTGCTAACCTTCATTGTTATTTTCTTCTTAGAGATTTTCCTTTCTTTTTATTTGTTTTTGGGCAAGTTCGGTTTGGAACTCGACGGATCTAACAGAGCGCGCACGGAGTACGTGACGTCACAGACAAAGTTCGCTCTTTTTATAATCTCAAGACGAACACAAGGGGAATGACAAATGACACTAGTGATAGTTTGCACTTGAATACACTGTTGTGTTCGTGTATGGACAGTAAAAAAATAATTTTAATCAAATAGAAAATAGTTATTACAGAAACAAACAAGAAATAATACGTGTAAAACTGATTAATCACCGATCAGAATATTGACATTTGACATTTTTGACACATTCCTACAGATACCCTCTGATCTCCATTGGCCAACTCGGGGAAGAGGGAGCGCGCTCCGAGTACGCAAACCGAACACAAAAGAGTACGCTCTGAGTGCCAAGACGACCACAAATGAGGCATACCGAGTACAGCGAACGTCAAACCGAACGCAGCCTTTTTAGAAGGCGAACGTTTGCCTATTTTCAAGTTCGGAATTCCTTTTGACACACTTTTCTTTCTCTTCTGTTCTGTTCTGACAAACTACTTTCTAAAGCATCTTTATATGGAGTACCTGTAATCAAGACAGCAGATCCTTTTCTGGACTTTTTTCTTTATCGCCAGGCTTTTAGATATCTGGAATTAGAATCTTTCACACATTTGGTCGCGTTAATACTTCTTGGAGGAGTCACATGCCTTGTAGGAGTCACATGCCTTGGAGGAGTCATATGCCTTGAAGGAGTCACATGCCTTGGAGGAGTCACATGCCTTGGAGGAGTCACATGCCTTGGAAAAATCACGTGCCTTGGCGGAGTCACTTGTCTTTGTTGTTCAGCATCGAGTGGATTTGGAGCTGGAATTCGGTCACTTTTCGCTTGACTGTGAATAGCGAAGTGCTCTCAAAAAATGTGCTTATTAAGCGGACAAATACAGCTCTTTCGAAAACCATTTATAGCGATTTCAGCGGTAGCACATCTTGCATACGCTTTTCCAAGCAAGTCGCAAACTTGATAGCTTGTGACCACTCTTTCAGGGTTGTTTCTTAGCCAATTTTCAATCTCTTGTGACTAATGTTTTAGGTAGCCCCATGCATGCAAGATTCAGAGGCTGAGAATAACTACATGGTTTTGTCGCGCCAAGTTTATCAAAGTTCCGAGTATGGGAGTAGTGGCCATCCAAGAATAATAAAACTGGATCAGCCTCACTTGGTTTAACGTGGCTAATAAAATGTTGTAGCCAATTGGTTGCTCTGAATCCATCCAGACACATGGCAGGCAGTAACTGTTCCTGGTGGAGTGCCGTTAAGTAATTCTGCCTTCATGTTTTTTCGGGGAAATATGGACCATTGGAGGCACAAAACCATCAGCCGCATTCATGCATGTAACCACCATCACTAGTGCCCCCCTTTCTGTGGAGGTAACGGCACCTACCTGCTTTTTACCTTTTAAATGTGATTAACTTGGTATACTTAGATGGTACAAATGTTGTACCTGTCTCATCTACGTTGTAGATTCGACAGGGATTGAATTTTTCTTTCTCCAACGCAGGTTCCAAAATTTCAAAAAACTGATTTACGTTTTCTTCTGTGAATCCCTTAATTCGGGCAGTTGATAAACCCTGTGGTCTTCTAAACGTTAGTTCAGGATGCCTCTTTAAAAATGAACGCGTCCATTTATAACCTGCTTATTTCTGAATGTAATGGGAGGTCATTTTAAGTTATTATTGTAATTATTTTGTTCTAAGTACTATTTAGAATTTTTTAGTTAACAACTGTTAGTATTATTTATAATCTTGTTAAAAAATCTGTTTTAGTTTTTATTTTTAGAATAATTATAATTAACGTGTTTTTCAAGCTGAAAATTGACAATTTTCAGTATTATTATTAAAAATCGAAAAAACTCTACGACTATAACATATAGGTATAGGGAATGCTTAACAAAAGTAAAAGTCTTTTGTAAGTAGTTTATGAAAATGATATAAGATACAGGGTGTTTCATTTGAAATAACCGATAAAATTATGGCCGTGAGTTTTGGGTTACTACTACGAAATTATTCTAGCCTTAAGATATTAACCCTCAATTCTTGATTCTAAATAATACAGGGTGACGATTTCATTTAGATTTTTACATACAACTGGCCATTTCTTTAAAAGTACCCTGTATAATCTGATAAAACCCTATATTGCTGGAATGGGGAAATAAGCAAATAGGGTGTTCCACTAAAAACACAATTTTATGAAACACCCTGTATATTACGAAATAATTTTAATATGTGGAGCTGGACTCTATCTATAGTATTTAAAACTTTTGTTCTTATCCCTCAAAACAACGGAGATATCAAATTCCGGAGTATAAGTTGATATTGTTTTATTTTTACTGATTTCCATATCTCATAAAAATTCTTTAAAATGAGCAAAAGCTTTGGACATACGAGGTATCTGTCTGCTCCAGGACTATGCCTGATTTTTGTCCATTCATCCTAAACTAATGTTAGCTCTCCTTGGCGCTGTCATTGCAAATTTCGTATCAAATACACTTTTCCTTTCACATTTTTTAATATATATATATATATATTTTGATAAAACTTTTTGGGAAAAAGATAAAAATGATACTTTTAGTTTTTCGGTACAACACGAGAATGATTATAATAGATCCTGCAGATTTTTTCTCCCACTGTAATGTTACCCAAAATACTCAACTTTTTTCTCATTTTATCCTCTTTGTATTTGTTACTGATTAGAATACAGCAATGTTGGCACATTATAAAAACAAGCTATATGTACATAGTCCGTGACAACTTAATAATAAATTGTCATTTGAAATGAAGGAATAAAAATAAAGTGGATTAGCTTTATTTCTAAAATTGCCATTTTTTCTGCAATGAAAAACCAAATAATGTTTGAACGGTTCTTTTCCATAATTATTTTGTCCGCCATATCCATGTGCGACGACAAAAATATCCAACTTTTAAAAAATAAATTTTTGTTAGAATTATGTTCCTAAAGATCTTGTGATATTTGTTTCTTTCTTAATTTATTGTAAAATTTTAGATAAATAAAATATATTGACAGTTATTGTTTTTTTTATTATTATAAATCGCCACTTGAAAAATCCTTTATACTTCACTTAATACATATGAGAAAGAGAGTGATGAGATAGTTCAAATGAAAAATAATCGGTTATTCAATCAATAAATTGCTTCGAGATATAATAGAACTTGAACTGGATTACTCGAATAATCAGATCATTCAAATACACAAATACACTATAGAATGCGCTCACTAGTGCGTTGTTAATAGTATCAATCTATAGTCCGCCACGCCACTCCATCAACCTTGAGGAATATAGGAAGTTATTTGAACAACTTGGATCTCATTTCCTAGTAGCAGGCGACTGAAACGCCAAACAGACAATCTGGGAGCAAGACTCATAACTGCCTTAACTCTACTAAAAATCATACAAGAAAACAACCAGAAATACTTAACAACAGGTACCTCCACGTACTGGCCTACCGATAACTTACTAGACGTTGCCATAACTAAAGGGATATCTGAAATACACAGAGACACCCTCAGTTTCGATTTACACTCGGATCACAATCTTATAATAACCTTTAGTACTAGTATAATTTAGAAAACACCTGCATTAAGGCTCTGCTCCAGAAACATAAATTGGAATCAGTATCATAATAAAATATCCCTAGACATACGACTCAAAGAAAAACATGATATTGAAGAAGCTGTAAAATACCTAACAACAAATTCAAAGAGCCGCTTGTGAAGCTACTTCTGTAAATAAACAAATAATTAAATAAACATGTAGTATACCTTACCATTACCACATTAGAACACTAGTTTAAGATAGAAGAAGAGCCCGTCGTACATTGCAAAAACAAGGAACCCATTAGATAAAACAAATCAAAACAGATTAACTCGTTGTGCTATCAAAACTGCCAGAAACGAATCCTTTGAAACATATGTCTACTCTACTTTTTACCGAGTGAAATCCGCAATGAAAGCAGACTTCTTAACCCACACAAAGCCTCCGAATTTGACCTTGTAATTGGCAAAATCCTAAAAAATCTCCCAGCTCTGCTATTTTGCAGTGCCAGTGGAAGTACGCAAAAATTATAATGATAGGTACCTAAAACTAGTAAATTTTCAACTGAAACCAGTTGGTACAGACCAATAAGTATCCTTCCGATTTTATCAAAAGTCCTTGAAAGGCTTATTCTCAACAGAATAGAAACAGTTTGGATTTCGCTCAAGTCACTCAATCAGCATTCCTTAATATACAGCAAGAATTCGATAAAGTGTAGCATGAGGGTCTCTTTTTTAAAATCAAAACTCATCTACCCTACCAATCATACCTCCTCCTGAAATCGTATTTATCCGATACGTCCAAGTTAAATTCGAAGAAACTTTATCCACCTATCATCAACTAAAATTCGGAGTACCTCAAAGCAGTGTACTCGACTCGTTCCTGTACTTAATTTTAACTGCTGACATACCTATCAGTGATTAATGTCAATATTTATGGATGACACTGCTATACTAGCATCAGACACTGACGAAATAAGGACATTCAACTGCAAAACCACCCCAGAACTAGAAAATTGGCGTAGACACTGGAAAATTAAAGTCAACACCAACAAAAGCTGTCAAGTTAATTTCACAAATCGAAGAATTAGATGTCCACAACTACACCTATACCAATAAATACAGAAGTAAAATACCTTGGACTTCATTTAGACGAAAAACTTACTCGAAAATCACATATTAAAGCTAAACGACGGCATTTCGACCTAAAAGTTTCAAATATGAGCTGGCTAATAAACAGAAGATCGAAACTTTCATAAGAAAACAAACTGACCATCTATAAAGCAATACTCAAACCAGTCTGGACATATGGAATAGAGCTGTGGGGCTGCAGCAAACCATCGAACACTAAAATACTACAGACATTCCTGTCCAAGACCATTCGAATGTTAACTAAAGCCCCATGGTACGTCTCCAACTACACCACTCCAAAAGATATATGAATCGCAGTGAAAACCATTCAAACCATCTCATAGATGAACTCTTTAACCATCCACTCATCGATAGACGCCTAAAAAAACTTTGACCAGAAGAACTATCTGCTAGGTGAACTCAAGCCACACAATTACACTAAAACTTATTGCTTTAATGAAGTAGATTTCAAATTAGCAATGAACAAAATAATAATAAAAAATAAGTACCTACTTTTTGTTAAACACCTGTAAAAAGCGAAAAAAAAAATAAAAAATATAAACGTAGAAAATATATTTTAATTTTAAAAAATAAATCCATATAATACCATAATTATCTTAAAAAATGCAGCAGCCAAAACAGCTATAAGCAAATAATGTGCGAAAAGTAGCTTCCAGTATTTCAGTTTTCCTTTCGGAACAGTATCAAGAGGATCTTTCATAATATATACCCGACCGCCTCTTGTATAAGTGTAGAAGTAAAGATCCCAGTCCAACTTTTTCATACTAAACTCAAATAGTTCCTGATCTTGTTTCTTCAATCTTCTCCAGAGTGACTGAACGTTATCATTACTAAATTTCCATTGCCTTTGACAGAAGTAAGAGAGAACATTAGCAAATTTATTGATTTTTTGATATCCCTTGACCAACCTAGAAATTAAAACTCATGTAAATACAAAAATAATAAATACATATTTCAGAAATAATAAACAAAAATAGCTATTTGTGTATTAAGAGCGAAAAGTAATACTTTGCCGCTTGAGACAGAAAGTTGGTCGCGCGACGCGTAGCGCGGCAATTTGTCTAAAGAAATAGACATATTTTTTTTTTCGATTTATGGCCTAGGTGTATAAACCTAATATGCCAGTCTCAGTTTGTGTTTTATATTCTCAATCTTGTGTGTTCTGTGTAGGCTTTGTTACTATTTCCCGGCGCCACTTCAGGAACAGCACTGTTAAGAAATATACATAAAAACTGAAAAATTGTCGTAAGTAGTGTATAATGAGTTGCCTATATCTAAGTAAATCATGAAAAATGGAATTGATGTGCAGTCAATGTTAACTTTGATAATAAAACGAAAAAAAAAAACATCAAACTACGAACAAATAAGTTGAAAATCATTTATTAAAAATAAATATATTATATCTAAATTAGTCGAGCAACAAAGATGTTAAATTTTCTTCTCGGCGAGCGACAGAGCTGTCACTTAATGTCAGCTTGAGAAAAATGTCAACTTTGCGCTTGTATTTCGAAGCGCAAAAGCCTACTTTGGATAGTTGTTCGGACGACTATGAGAAGTTTGCCAGGCAAGACATAACCAAGCCTGGAAACTCGTAGGAGTCCAAAAATACACTTTTTGTTCGTGTTTCATACATTATTTTTGATAAATAATTATTTAAAAAATATAGAACATGTTTCTTATAACTGAGATGGCTGTGATCGATAATAATAACTATAGGCAGGTATACTTATACGTCAGTTAAGTGTGATGTCATTTTGGTTCCACTGACATTTAATTCTTACCAAACATTTAACAAAAACATCAATAAATTTGACATATACGTTTTTACTGTTTTAAGTTTGTTTCTAAATATTGTTTGCAGGTCATAAAAAATAGTTTGAAGGTATGTAATTGGTAAGTAACTAAACGATTGTACATCACTAAAATGACGCATTAATTACTGTTTTTGTCATATCAGTGTGCTTATATCAAATCAATTTAATTATAGTTTATTATAGTTTTTTCTTATTATATTAAAAATGTTTCTATTCAAATTTGATGTACTTTTTGCAATAGCAAAAAAAGTATCGATAGTTTTTTATGAAAGAGTGTCTATGTGCTAATATTATATAAAACACTTACATTGGTTTCCTTCCAATACATATAGCTAAGAAATCAACGATGTAGGCTGGAAGAGTGTGTAATAAAAATACTAATATGGCATGGATATATACGTTTTCCGTCATTGTAAAAGTACTGTGCCAAATGCATTTCTCAGATGGAATCTGCAAGCAGTGTTTGGTGCTAAGGTCCTGAAATAGTTCTAAAAAGCGAAAAAAATAGGTGTGTAAAAGTGAATAGTATTCAATTAATTGAACTCTCCCAATATTCGACAATTTCGCATTACTCATGCGCGAAAAAAACGCGGGACTTTTAAATTTAGTGATTTTCCAAACACTTTCTGATATCTCTTTCTTATCCTCGCCTTACAACTGTTGGGTTGGCTACGACGATTACCCCATGTAATCGTTACTTTAAACAACTGTCATCGATTCTATATAGTAGGGAGCCAGTGAAACTTTATTAGTAGGTACACATTTCCAAAGGTTAAATTATAAATGTATCCTTAATATTACTCTGAAGAAGATGAAAATACTTTATTGCCATCGATCTAGCTATGAAATTCCCTGTCAGCAAGCCAGAAGGTACCTACTGAGAGCCGAATTTCAAGAAACATTTTTCTACTAACTTTTGATTTGAATAACATCCGAATGTTTCAATTTTGCGCTTCTACGACAGCATTTTCTACACAGGCTTTTTTAAAACGTCATCGTCGAGGGCTCCATTGTTCTATAAGGTAAGAATGAACGATTTTATAAATTTTACTTTCATAAATAACACACCTAAAAGTGGCACTGGCTCCCCTACCATTACTATTAAATTCAAAAACAAAAATTATATTTGCAGATGTGTAATTGGCTCAGGGTAGAAAACATAACAATAATTTTAATGATTTTAGACGGAAGTAGAATTTGCGCATGAGTAATAGAGATCATCAATAATGGGAAAGGTCCATAAATATACAAACTGTTTTTTCTACGACCACTATTTAAAACATCTGTTTCCACATTAATTACCATTCGAAGAATTAACAATTTCTCATAATACTACGTAAAAGTGACAGATGTGTATGATAAAATGACGTAAACGAGTAATTATTTTACACTCGTTTATGTTAAGTAAAAGTATGATCGTTAATTTAAACTAAATTCACAATTTTGACTCCAAAAGTTCTATTTTCGTTCGCCTAACATTTCAAAAGGATTAAGTGTTAAAAACATCTTAATAAAGTCACTACTATATCACGTTCGAAATAATTGAATAAACGATCGTGATCGTATTTAATATTATTGATGCACCTATGAGCACCTACTATGAAGACTAGATATAAGAAGGCGAATCGGAAATGATAAAATTTCTGTCCTTTCTATAAAGTTCGCTAAATTGACTGTAGTTAGCACTGACGTTCATTTTCTATATAAGTCAATGTAAAATAAAGTGATTTTTTTAAAAAATTGGAGGAAAAGATCAAAATAATGTGAAAAAAAGTACCCGAGTACAAGTAATATGAGTGACAAAAAACATTAAAGCACGATTTACTTCTTTTCACATTATAAAACAGGATACAAATCACATGTAAAACTAAAGAAAACACAAAGAGAAATCAATTCAATATCTTTTTAAAGCTTCTAATGTAAGTAAAATAATATATTTATGTCTAAATATAATATTTATTGTAAACTAGTCACAACACGTATCACTCTAGTCTTCATAGCACCTAGTTTTTAAATGATTTGTTTCATATTCTATTATTGTATTGCATCAAAATATATAAAAATTAAGTAGGTATGTATTTGGAATTTTAGTTACTCATATTGCCGTAAGTATAGAATTATTTAAATGATAGACCCAAAATTGAAATTAAATTCATCAAATTCTAACATGGAAAAAACTTCCACCAGCTTTCATTTGATACTACCCCATAAGATGGCATCAGATTTTTTCTAATTTCCAATTTAGCCCCTCCCCAAAACTGACTCTCTAAATAACTCATTTTTTTAATTAAATAAAAGTGAAGTGAGAATAATCATTTGAGATCCGAAAAACTGAATGCAATTTTGGAAATATAAAAAAGTAAAATCCACAGTTCCCCCTAAGAAATTATGAAAATTACACCCTCATATCCCCAAAGTAAGAATAAATCAAAAAATAATTGAAAGATCTGAGAACTGAAGAAAAAATAAGTTCATTGGCCGGTAGTCGAACCCGGAACCTCAGACTTTAGCCGTTCATACTCATTTTTGTTCAATTTACACCTTATTCTCGACTCTTTTCAGACATTTTAGCTTTTCTTTAAGATAGAGGTTAAGAAAACAGCAATTTCAAATAATGTTAAAGAAGAAGGCGAACAAACGCAATATGCATTTCAAAATCGTGTTTCCAAATGTTTTCATTTTGATATCGTACACAAATTCATCATCTGAGGGTTACTTTTGAATAAAGCATTGGACGGACAGCAATTTTTAACAGTTTTTTTCGAAGAAAAAAAAAAACAAAAAAACGTATTATACATTTTAAAATGGTGCTTTAAAGATATTTTATTTGATACTCCCACATTATGGCATCAGAAAATGTATTAAAACTCCAAAACTGATCTAGTTTCACACAATATAGGGTGGCAAGATAAAAATGTATCACTTTATCAGGAATTGCGTCAACATTTTAGACAAATTGAAAGACCCGTCGATTTTTGATTAAATACGTCATTACACCCTCTCGTCAGTTACTCTAACCAATACAATTTAAGCTGAGCTCAAATGATGAAGATTTAATCCAAATATATGTCTCCATTCTGAGATACACGGTGTTTTGTTTAAAAATTTAAAAATTATTTCTGTCCAGTACTTTAAAACTATTTGACATATTATTGTCATATTTGACGGGAAGTGTAGATACTGTACACCCTACTAAATTATGTTAAATAAACGTTTCTACTAGCGGAATTCCAATTTTATCACAATTTATCGATTCTCCAATACCTCCTACGTAAATATTGTACTCTTTCTTCATAGCAATAATGTTATTATTTTTCGAGATATTTTAAGTTAAACATGAAGCTGTACAATTATTTTGAGTTTAATGTGTATTAATAATTATGTCGGTGTTTTGGGCCATTTATTACGCAAATGAAACTAATCCGTATTAACAAAAATATGTCTCCTGTTTGAGTTACACAGTGTTTTATTTAAAAATTATTTTTGCCCAGTACTTTAAAACTATTTGACGTAATATTGTCATATTTGGCGGGATATATATGGTTTCATAGTAAGACATTAAGAATCGGTTTTGTGTAGTTGGCTCTGGTCTGACTTAATTGTTTTGATCTAGTAGGATGCTGTCATTGCTGTTAGTTGTTACTGACACATAAGATTGTGATTGTTGTAAAATTTAAAAAATCGATTAAATGAAAATGCAGCGGCACAACAATTTTACTAATCTTGTGTTTATGTAAACAAAAACTATTCCTCTCTTGCTGCTGCTCGAAGATATCAAGAAATCTATCCAAACAGAGTTTATTAAAATCGCCAGACTTTCAGTAATATTTTTAGTTGTTTAGGAGTAACTGGACAATTTAGGCGTAACAGTGGTATGGGACGACCAAAAATTTTAACTATTAATCAGGAGGATGATATTTTAGTAAGAGCTGCTGATAATCCTGAACTAAGTACTCAGCATTTAGCAGCAATGACTGGAGTAAGCCAGTCCTCAGATTTTCGAATACCTACTAAAAAAAGAACATTTACGACCTTACCACTTTACACCGGTACAGAATTTAGTGCCTAGAGATTATCCATATGGATGAATTTTGCTCATTGGATGGTAAACAAAAAAAAATTAAAATCGTAATTTTAATAAAAAAATTCTTTTTACTGATGACGAGGCCACACGTAGAGGAGTATTCAACTGGAGAAACGGTCACAATTAGTATATTGAAAATACTCATCTATTCCGAGATTCACATTTTCAATACGAATTTAAGATAAATGTATGGTGTGGTATATTTGGAGATAGTTTGTTGGGTCCTTATGAATTACCAGAAAATTTAATGGTAACTCGTATTTACAGTTTTTACAAACTACACTCTTCGATTATCTAGAGGAATTGTCGATTAATAGAAGTAGAGACATGTGGTTCATGCAGGATGTAGCACCACCTCATTATCCTTTAATAGTGCGGAACTATCTCGATCATTAATTTCCTCATCGTTGGATTGGCAGAGGTAGTGAATTTACATGGCCGCCTCGAAGATCCGATTGTAATCCCTTAGATTTTTATTTCTGGGGTCATATGAAATCACTTATATATTCCCAAGCAATAAATACTCGATAAATTCCATTAATTTTATTATTGCCAATCAGCCAAACATATTTTTGTAAGTTAGAAGATCGTTTAGCGAAAGAATGAATAAACTTATTGAGGTAAACGGGGGCCACATTGAACATTTCTTATAAAAAGTTTTTAAAGTATTGTTCTTTGTTTTTTGATATTTTCTTCTTACTAAAATTATTCCTTTATTTAGATTATTTGTTTTTAATTGTTTGTTAATCACTCTCTTTGAAATAAATGGGCTGTATGATTTAATTACTGGTTCTATTAAAATAAACAAAAATACAAAAAACTGTGCCACTCGGCAATACAGTGTTTACAATAATAATTTAAAGTTGACTCAATTAATGTACAAAATATCTCGAAAAATAATAACTTATCGCTATGAAGAAAGAGTATGATATTTACGTAGAAAGTATTGGAGAATCGAAAACTTGTGATAAAATTCCGCCAGTGGTGTAGAATTTTGGAAGGATTAACCAGTCACTTGCCCATGTCGTACGCCTCTGATGGTAGCCAGAAACGTTTATGTAACATAATTTAGTAGGGTGTATAGTATTTACACTTCCCGCCAAATATGACGATAATATGTCAAGTAGTTTTAAATTACTGGTCAGAAATCATTTTTAAATAAAACACCCTTAACTCAGAATGGAGACACATTTTATGTAGGTGATTTGGTTTAAATATTCATAATTTGAGCTCAGGATCCTATAGTTGAAATATTTCCAATAAGTAATGAATCACCCTGTATAATTAATATAAGAACATGAAAATTACTGAAAACAAAACAAGTGAAATAATGAAAATCAACCAAAATCTCTAAGAGTAGTTACTAAACTACCCTTGAGATTTTCTCCCAATCTCTCGATATTTGTTACGCCACTACATACAAGAATGGGAACTTTAACTAGAACTAATTCGGTAGAGCCCCAGAATAAAATATTTGGATAAAACGGAAAAACACGTCGAGTGAGATTTTTGATGGGCTAAAAAAATGTTTCACCCTTTTTAAGCGGTGAAACCCATCCCACTTAATTTTTTTAAATTGGAGGATACTATTTTTGTCATGTATGCAAAATTAAAACTCAATTTTTTACGTCAAGGTCTTCAACTGACGGGTTCGAAATATCTAAAAAGTGTGGTCGTAGAAATAATAGGTATGAAATATGCACAAAACATTTGATTGCACTCGCTTAATTTGTGGCAGTCGCCTATAAGCTCGTACCACAAAATATTGCACATTTGTTACACAAACTATACTATTATAGTTTACTACTATTATAGTTTACTAACCCCAAGTCAATGGCTTTTCTGGGGTGCTAACAAAATTATAAACTGGAATTTCGCTCTCAAATTTTTCTTCCCTGCTGTCTTTGTCCTGCACTTCTTTATTGTCATTTATAGATCTGAAAAAATATAAAGAAAATAAGAAAAACATCTGTTTGTGTAGTATGTATACATTGCATTTCAGATCGTTTAAAATGAGTATTCCTTACAAGTAGAAAAATATACTTTTTTTTCTATGGTTGTACCCATTTTTAATGTTTTTTATAATTTAAAAAAATTAAATGACTACTCTCTAAATGATATAATGTTTGACATTTTATTCACACAAGATTTTACTTAAGTAATTAAGAAAATACTAATTTGTGTGATCAGATAAAGATGTGATATTTTGTGTTATTAGAGTTTTCAAATAAGGAAATATATCTTACTTCTTAATCAACAAGAGTTAAGAAAGGATAATTTTATATTATAGCCGTATAACTTTTTTTACAATTAGGTATCAATTTCATAGTTATATCAGAGCATAGTTGCACATTTGTATTTTTATGGTGTCGGAGAGGTTGGGCTGATTAAACAGTGCAGATTTCTATTGATATCTCAGCAGTAAAAATTTAAGTACAGTTAAACTTACTTAATAGTAGCGACATCCCATGCGGCAGCAAGTACACTGTTTATAACATAATCCGCAGGAACCATATCGGCGTGATTGCTTGATCTACCCTGAAGCACTCTTAGTAGACCAACGGCGACACCGAGAAGTACACCAGTTGCCCCATAAATATTGTCTATCCAACCAGCTACAGGTTCTTTTAGAGTGGCAATTACTAAAAAAGTAATAAAGTTGAAATTAAAATACCTAAAGATAAATAGTTTTCGTAGAATGCTTAATAGCAACAATAAATAGCAAATATATTTGACGTTTAATAATTTAAGTGCAATTGTTTTATTTTTGAATCAAGCTTTGTTTATATCAATAAATAATGAAATGAAACTAAAATTAAAGTTAAATAATCCTTTTTACATGTTCTTTCATAAAGACCTAACTAACTCTTTTCGGCTAATAGTAGGTAGGTACTTAATAAACATATGTACGAAAACGCATAATCGAAGGGGGTTAAAGGGTAACTTTTTTATATTTCAAAACCAACTATTGGGAGGTTATTAGTGTACCTAATAAATTTATTTAGGTCAACTTTCCATAAAAATTATGTCTTTGAATGGTTAAATAAGTCTTGTGAGTTAATTATTTTCTCTCTTCTAATTTCTAATTTTTTTTAAAACAAATTTTAAATTATGGTTTTTTAGTTATTTTTACAATTAAAAGGTGCTCTTAGCAAAAATTAACCGTTTAGTCAAAATTTGGGTTTTTATATCAATTTGCTTCTTTTTAAGTAAATCACATTCTCAGTAGGCTATGAAAACATTTCACAGTGACGTTAATTATTAATTGTTGACAGATATTATTTATCCATGGGCGTCGTTACACAATTCTATAGGGGGGGGCAAAATTTTGCAAAAATTTTAGAATGTTTCTTTGTTGGAAAACAAAGGAAATGAAAAATAAAAGAAAATTTTACTTATGAATGGATTTAATTTTTTCTGTGACGTCATGGCTTACTTACAGCTTTTCCAGAAATAACAGAAAATCGCAATTTATTTTTTATTTTTAAAATGAAAAACCATTTTTTTATTGAAAATTTGAATTTCTTGGACATTTTTGGGGCGTGTATTGAAAATTTTCTGATTACATATTAAAATCATGTTTTTCCAATATGATGGTCATTTTGACAGCTGACAGAAAATTTTCAACACATGATTCTTTTCCATAAATGTTCCCGAAATTCAAATTTTCAATAAAAAAGGGGGTTTCTATTTAAAAATTAAAAATAAATTGATATTTTCTGTTATTTCCGAAAAACCAGAAGTAAGCCATGACGTCACACACCAATTGAATCAAGTATATGACAGTATCTGTTCTAAGCTTTTAACCAAAAAAGTTTTCATTCCAATATCTCAATTAACAACGAAGATAAAAGCGGATGGAATTATTAAACGGTTTGCTAATAATAAAAATGCTTAGATACGCCACTGGTATACGGTAAATGGGTCTCAATGGAAATGTTGAAGCTTGCAAAGATTTTATAAAGATCGTACATTACTATATTTTTTTCCATAAACGAATTAATAATGACATGTTTAGAAAAAATATTATCCAATATGGCGGCCATTTTGACAGCTGACAGAAAATTTTCAATACATTATTATACAAAAATTATTAAATTTACAATAAAAGAGAGGGGTTCCATTTAACAATAAAAAAATTTCGATTTTCGTTATTTACGGAAAAACCGGAAGTAAGCCAGGACGTCACAGAATAATTGAATCAATAATAAGAAAGTGTTTGTTCCAGTCTTTCAAACAGAACTGTGAAGATAAGGGGAGTGGAACTTTAGTAGTAACCCTAACAATGTCACTGACCCATTTGACAGAACTGATACTTAAGTTATCATAACAAGTCTCTAATAAATAAAATAACCAAACAAAAAAGACAAAAACTAAAATTAAAAAAAAAACAAGAAACTTGAAGCACATTTTTAAAAAACAAACAGAAGGTGTGATATAAAAGAAAAATATGAACATAATATTAAAAATAAAAATTTATAAAAAACAAAAACATAAAAAAACTCACTCAAATATGTCAATGAATACAAAAAAAAACACTAGGAAAAGGCAAATCTCTACTAAAAACATCGATAACGCAAAACTTAATTTATTTTTCAGTCAGCCTATTTTCATTCATTATTTACTCCGTGCGTGACAGCAACGCCAAACTATTTTATGAACTAAAGGACGATATTTGCGTATACTGACAATACAATTTTTAATAGAGTTCGTAATTAAGAAATAAATATGTTAATTTTAATTTTAAAACAAGTGAAAAAATTATTATATATTTTTATTACTTTAGCTAAAAAAAGTCAATAAAAATCAATAATAAAACATAGGCAGGCATTTACATTTTCTCGTAAATAGAGATCTTGCCTAAGTATAATAAGTTGTCATTGAAGAATAGGTTAAATAATGTCAAAATAAAAATATTACCATTATATAATAACGTAGAATTAAAACGTAATAACAAAAATAATTGGTATATTTGCGATTGTAATTTATATTTTATTCATTTTTAGTTCGAAAGAACCCAAGATATTAATGAATAAAACTGGTTTCCTATCAATAAGTCACAAGATTGCATGTCAGCCATATACAATAAGGCAGAAATCTAATCATTTACTTAAGATTTAAGAGATGTTAAAGAATATCATAAAAAAAGAATTTATTGCTTAATTATTACAAAATTAAAGGTTTTTTTGTTCTTATTATACAGCTGTCCATTTATTTCTTTTATTTAATTTCGATTTTGCTACTGAATATTCATATAATTTACAGTCTTTTTGCTAGTATAATTTGCAACATAGCAACTCCGGTTGCTCATTTTATTGTTTTTACCTATTTTTTTAATAAAAAGTAAAATGTATACGTGTATTTAATACGCCAAAATTTCAAAATATTGCCCTAAAATACTCGAATTATCCGCAGCTTGCGCTTCCCCTACCATGACTTCTCACTGATCGAATAGACGGCAGCCATGTTTTAACATGCCTTAGCATTCCAAACGTTCTTTCTATTAACTCTGTCGTTTTTTGGAAGAGCCATAAATATTTTTTAAACCATTTCGTATGTCTGAATAAAATTCACAATATTTGGACGCTATATCATCAATGGAGAGCTCATTGTGTGCAGAAAGCTCTTTCGTATTCCAGTTTGGTATTCAGCTTCAAAATTGTCGATTCCAAATTTTTCCACCACTTTCATTTTGTTATCGGTAGTGGAAAAAGTATTTTTTATGTTTTTGGGATGTAACATGCTTAAGGAAAACCTAACAAAGTCTTCGGAAAAGCGGAACCCAGATATGCAATAAATATATTCAACCTATAATATTCTTCAACTATATTAGCCTGAATATTATTTCTATGAGATTGTTGTTCGTAATGCATATCTTATGCGTTGTTGATTAAGCCGTAAAAGCCAGGGGGGGGCAACTGCCCCCCCTTGCCCCCCCCCCCCCCCCCCCCCCCCCCCCCAAACGACGCCCATGTATTTATCGATTTATTTTAAATCATGTTATTGTTTGCTAAAAATATATACATATATAATATGAAAACATACACATTTTACGAATATTTAGGTATGTTGATGACATAAGAAAAATTTTTAGGAAATTCCACAGGGCAGTTAGAAAATAATACAGTGTAAAATTCCCTCACATAAATCTACCATCTACCAAGCAACTTTCCTTTGACGATTTTTTTCTTCAAGCATAAATAACAGATATATTCCTTAAAGTAGAAAAAGGACTCTCCATAAAGTACCCCAGATGCTCCGAATATGCCCAAAATCTAATCAGTACCTTAGAGGACGGATAAAGCTTAAATTTGAAATTAATTGTTTTTCTTTGAATACGTTTTTGAGGTATCGTGAAAACAGACACACATATACCACGTATAAGAGATATTTGTGGCATCAAGGCAGTTTTTATATAAAAACAAAAGAGAAAGAAATTGGGATCCATACAATTTAATGTACGCTCATTTACCTTCCAAAATAAATTACTAGCGAAGGCATTTGCGGCAACTAGAATGAAGATATATAATGCTTGGCATTCTATATTATACTTTTCATAATTTAACAGATCCTCCTTAACACCCCATTTTTATTCAATTTTTTTTTTCAGAATCAGAAGGCTTTATGCCCTTATAGAGCTTGAATTTTACTAAAAATTTTAAGTTGACATCGCTTTTCGGTTTTTATTTCTGATTTTTTAAATTTCACTCCCCTTCTGTCACTATCTGTATTGTGTAGAGGGTGGGTTTTCCCCACGGCATTGAAGCCTCACTAGGCCCCTTGTATATCCTCCTAAGATCATGGGCACCTTCTAGCTCGTAAGCCAGCCTTCAGATGGAGTTGACAACGTCGCCAAGAGGTGCTTCTCTTATATCGGCCGGTGTTAGCCGATACTCGCCGCACACAAATCTAATAAATGAAAGCGTCGAGCAATCGTTAAGAATATGCTAGATAGTTTCATCTTCTTGTTCGCACCCTCTGCAGAGTGCGGATTCTGACAGCACCATGATATGAAGATGCTTCCGTACTTGGCAATGACCAGTCAGAATTCCTGTGAAAAGGCGCAGATTTTGTTTACTCATAGTCAAGTATTTGTTTGCTGCAGTGTTGTCAGGATAACTTAAGATTCCTAGGAACTCTGCAGTTTCTTGTTTTATCCCATCTTTCCTTGAATTTCACAAGGAAATGTTCTTTAAGTAGGCCTGTCACTACCGATTTTGTCAGGCCAATAGAAGGCCAGGTCCAAAAAGTATTTGGTTGGCTGCTTTCTTGGCTAGTGGATCATTAAGATGGTTACCTTTCAATGTGGCGTGACCTTTGATCCATCTTAAGGTAACCACATTGTTGATGGATACTTCGGCCAAAGCTTCGTGACATTCTAGTACTAACCCTAAGTAAATTCGTCTTCTCTTCAGAATATTCACTCCCCTTAACTACCCCATTTTTATTTTTATTTATTTTTATTTCAACCCTCCCTTAACCGCCCTATTTTTAATTAGATTTTTTGAAGAATCAATAGGCTCTGTTCCCTTATAGAGCTTGTTAATTATGAATGCAATGGTTTCTAGATTTTCAGGTGGGGGCATTAGAGGAGATAACGGCTGTGAATTTTCTCTGAAACTAAACTCGGGCGCCAAGCGCAATAAAACGCCCAAAATATTTACATTTATTTCTACCCTGTAGTAGTTTTGTCCGTAGGTATTTAAAAAACCGTCGCTATTGCACCACTAAAATGTGAATACGCCAGGCCAACGTAAACGCGCCATATACATTCTCATGTCGCATTTAAATTAAATAGCCACACCATGCAATTTTTAATCTTTTTTGATAATCTTTGTACCTTTTCTTTTTTATTATTAAATATGAAATGTAACGTTAATAAGGTCCAACACCCTTTTTTTTATTGTATTTACTTGATTATTTACATGTTTTATTTCTTTTGAACTACGATAATAATAAATTGATCTTCATTAAGAAAAATCTCGAAAACTGTGAAAAAACACAACGTGTCGATTGGATTTTGCGTAGAGTTAAATATTACATGTTTGATGAGACATAGAAATAAAGTGAGGGTTTAAATCCTCTAATGCCAAGAAAAACTTGTTGGCCAGCTATTCTTGAATTCAAGGGAGTAGAAAACCGGTTTTACCTCTTTATCTGCAACTCACAAAATTTGTATTTTTGTCTCATTCTTCCCTCAAAATTTCTTCTCCCTGAGATTCAAGAATAGGTAGCCAGATGGAAAAGAAGGCTTGCAATAGATATTGAACGCACAATGTGTTACATAATACAGACACCTAAATCCTAAAACATGTGACTGACTTTAGGCTTTATTGTTGTTACTAAACGGAGTTGTTATTCTCGAAGCTCTTCTCTTAGCTTAGATTATTTTTTTACCAGACACCTAACCAAAAGAACTTGATAATGCGAAAGAGGCCTTAATGAATCAAAGGCGGCTCCAGGGGGGCTATGTCCCCCCAAGATGAAAATTCTTACGATTTATCCAAAAAAATATGCTAAAAAGGGAATGGCTAAAGGCAATGCGCCCCCCCCCCCTTCCCCCCCGAAAATTCATCTTGGAGTCGCCCTTGCAGCGAATAAGCCAAAAAATAAAACAAATGCTTACCTATTGATGGCCTATATAATCCAACGGGCAAATTTTTTCCTTCCTTTTTCAAGGCGTCTTCCGCAACACATTTTGTAAATGCGTAGGTATTGGGATATTCTCCTAATATACTAGAAATAAAAAAAATGTTTCTAAACAATCTGTTCCAATGCTATTATATAATGGTAATAGGTGTGTATATATATAGGGTGTTTTTAAACATCGTGCACATACGGAAGGGGGTAATTTGACTTATTTTATGACTAAAAGTTTATGTAAATATAAGCCCACAAACTCTTTGTTACCGATATACAGGGTTTGTACGATGTTTAGGAACACCCTGTATATACTTACGTTGTTGTAATGTCGTCTAATTTGTTGTCATCTAAGCAATCAACTAATGCGATAAGTTTATCGGCAGTGATAGGAGGATCGTAAAATTTTTCTTCTATTGTCGTGCGGACACAATTAGAAAATGCTGTCGAAACGTGTATTAATGCCTGAAAATAAAATATATAGAATGAGAAAGTTTTCAAATTAGATAAACTTTAAAACTTTAACCATTAATAATACTATATTAAACAATAAACATTTTAACATTTTAAATCATTATCAATGTCGTTTAGACATTTTCCTGTTCCTCATTCTAATCTTTTTCAGTCTTTGTCACATTTCCTCTAATAAAACTGCAGAGTGTGCAGTGAAGCCTGGAACAAACTCACTACTCAGTCTCTCAACGTTTTGAGGAATCAATCTCTCTCTAAAGTTTACCCTAACTTGGATATAGCTCTCCGCATCGCACTTTCCACTACAAATTGTTCTTGGGAAAGGAACTTTTCCTGTTTAAAACGTTAATTCTTTAGCTCTTCTCTGCATAGAAGCAGAGAAAATGAACACCATAAACTATGATGATATATTATAGATGATTTTGCTATTAAAAAGTCCCGTAAAAATTGTAATTCTTGTTTCTTTTTCACGCTCTTTCTTAATGACTACTTCATTCATTTATTTAACTTTAGTGCCTTCCTTACTACAAATAGAAAATCATTATTTTAGAAAGGTACATGGGGCGGTGGAAATAAAAGGGCCTACACTCATAAAAAATATAAATATGCTCTAACTGCAAATACAATCGCTTTCCTAGTAGGAAATGGAATCTCAAGAATGTTCATACTACTATGTGTGCATTAAAAAACATATATTTGTGCTTGTTGTTTAGCTCTAAAGTTATTTTGAATATCAAAATCAAATCAAAAATATTTATTCACAGAATGTACAATAAATATAAAGTGCAGTATCTTTATTGGTAACTGCAAATAAACACATACTCTTGCGAAGCATCAAATGCTTGTTTGCAAGGGAAATGCTATAAATACTAATAAAATATACAATATTAATAGATAAAATTAATTTATAACATAAGAAAAATATTAAGTTTGTTATTTATTAAAAACTATCAATGACATTTTTACATGAATAGAATAGAAACATTGCTATTAGCTACTTTCAACTAGGTTATGTATGTCGTTTCTAATCGTACTCTTTAGGGGAAAGTGTTCCACAATGAGACATGTTCCACAATGAGACATGTTCCACAATGAGACATGTTCCACATTGAGACATTCGCCATGACTTTTTGAACTTCCCGCCTATTTAGTTTAAAATATATGGCCGACGAACATATTCAGTTGTGCATGTGCTTCACCAATTTTTACGAAATTTAGAAAATTCTAAGCATATTTAGTGACTTACATAGCTCAAATTGAGGTAAGTTTTTTTTATAGTCGATATTTCAATTGGTGATTAAATAAAATCCGGTGGTTTTTTGATAAATCTGAAATTCAGAAATTGTTTGGGCATTTCTAGGTTAGGATTCTGAATAAACTAGAGATGTTCAAAACGATCTAAAAATGTTTGCCAACTTCTTAAAATAATATCGAAAAAGTTCCACAATGAGACAGTTGGTAAATTTTTCAACTTGTAAATATCTAATGTTTTTCATTTTATTTCCATGTTAGGGTCAAAACTATGGCTTGTGGAAGACAACGAAAATCGAAAAAAGGTTCTTTCACAGAGGACCAAATGAAAGCAGCTGTGCATATGGTTCTTGAGGAAAAATTAAGTTTAAAACAAGCATCTGGAAGGACAGGCATTAAATTTCAAATGCTTCATCGTTACGTCAAAAAACAAACACTTGCAGGCGAAAATGTGAAAATGAGATACAAGCCTAACTATGCTTGTCGGAAAACTTTTACCTCAGAACAAGAGAAACTTATTGCGGAATACGCCAAAACTTGTTCGAAAATGTGCTACGGCAAAACTAGAAAAGATTTGCGAATACTTTCGAAGTAGCCGATGCAAATAAATTTAACATTCCTGAAAAATGGAAAATTAATAAACGGGCAGGGATGGAATGGTTATTAGGTTTTATGTCACGGAACCCTAATAAGTTGAGTGTAAGACAACCAGAAGGCTGTAGCCATTCCAGAGCTACTTCATTTAATAAGCATAATGTAGGCCAATTTTTTGTCAATTTGGAATCGATCTATCAGCGTTCAAAGCATTTTGCAGATGGGACTCGCACCTACAACCTGGACGAGACCACAACCACTACTGTTCAGAAACCACGTAAAGTTGTAAGAAAGAAGGGAATTAAACAAGCTAGCTCAGCAACTAGCGGTGAACGCGGAATATTAGTAATCACCTGCTGCACTGTGAATGCAACTGGAAGCTTTATTCTACCAGTTATGATTTTCCCAAGAAAGAAATTTAAATAGCACATGCTACACGGCGCTCCTCCCGGTACCTTAGGCCTTGCACAACCAGCAGGATGGATGACAGTGGATTTATAGTCATAAATCACTTTATACATCATACCTCGAGTAGTGTAGACTATTTCACACTATTAATTATGGATAACCATGAAAGCCATTTATCGGCTTATGTTCTTGACCTAGCAAAAAATAATCGAGTAATTATCTTGACATTGCCACCGCATACCTCTCACAATTTGCAGCCTTTAGATCTTTCGGTTTTTTCCCATTCAAATCCCAATATAATGCTGCAGTTGAATCGTGGATGCTAAGGAATCCAGGCCGTCCAATCTCAATTTATGAAATAGCTGAATGTGTTGGTGTTGCGTTGGAAAATCTATGACCCCCAAAAATATAACAGCAGATTTCAAAAACTCAGGTATTTTTCCCTTTGACGAGAACATTTTCACGGACGACGATTATATTGCTAGCAGTGTCACTGACCGATACCAGCCAGCTGATGAAATTGCTGGTCCATCTGAGCATCACATTACTGGGGATTGCGGAGACGAAACATTTGAACCCAATACGGCTGATAATCAGGATTGCAATGGCACAACAATTGAAACCTCTAAGACTGGTATTCAAGAATCTGAACTCACAATAGGAACTAATATTATTGAAAAATTTATATCGCCGGCAGTATTGAAAGGCTATCCGAAAGCACCAGAATTAAAACAAAAGAACAGGGCTAGAAAAAAGAAGAGTATCATAGCTACAGACACGCCAGAACTTAATGCAATAAAAGCAAAATCCAATGAGAAAGTGAGGCAGGTGGAATTAAAAATGAGAAAAAAGCAGAGAAAATTAAATGACGTCAAGACCAGGGTGTTTAAAGAATCTTCTAGTGAAGATTCTGATAGGGAATCCTATCAGGAAGATACTAGGGGTTCCTCTGAAGATGCTAGTGATATTGAAGATGCCGTGGATAAAGATAACTTTCTTGCACTGGAGCGACAACCAATTTTTTTTTTTAAATTTGATGTCATTGGCATCAACTACTAAGGTTATTAGCCTCGTGTTCTGTGTAGGCTTTGTTACTGTTTCCCAGCGCCACTTTAGGAACAGCACTGTTAATTAGAACCCAACAGTGAATTTGATGAATTAAAAACTGTTGTTTTATGTCGGAAAAATTTTAAATAAAAAAGAAGATGTCAAACCACTGTTTTATACATTTAAAATCATTTTAAATTTTTAACTTCAAATCGTACCAGTATATAAGTATTGTTTATAATTAGAGAGGAGTAACAACATTTGGTCAGTCATCAAATATGTGGTCTAGCACATAATTAGTAAATTAATTGATTGATCAATTAGATAATAATTGTCTATTTTATTTATTGCCGGGAAAAACAGATATTAAAATTTATTACGTAGCCGTAAAGTTAGCATACCGAGAAATACGACAATATTAAAAATGTGGTCAAAATAAAATAAATGTGATTAATCAAAATATAAATATAAACAATTTCAATGTCAATATAATTCTGTAAATACATAAAATTTATTATATTTTGAAAATTTCACGAAAGGAACCATAAGATGATTCAAATCGTCTCCATCCTCAGGGAGGTTTGATCTTGTCAGCACTATATATAGGGTAATTCAAAAGTAACGGATAATATATTATGTACAGATTCTATAGCGAAAAATATTGTTTGTTTAATAGCTGGGAGTCAACTCTTAGGAAGGATTCTGTTAAACCTAGATTGCTTACGATTTTCTCACATCTATAACCCTAATTGTATCGAATTTTGTTTATATGACAAAAAAATACTGAAATATAACAGTACTGATTTATTTTTGTAACCTTAACATGCTGTATTAATATTTGTTCCACTGTTATTAGGAAAAAATTCAATATTTTCCTCTTTTCCTTATTCATTATATCTGTCAGTGGTTAGGTGTCTCTTAGATAGCTATTTAATGGTACCGTGTACGAAACCGAAATATGCACGCCAAAATTTGATGATGTGATTTAGACTTTGCATCAGGATACATATACTAAAGGTATGCTGACTTTTGATTCAAAATTCGTCCAAACCGCGCATGAAGTAATGCGGGACGAACTTTCAAGTTTTTTTGACACTTTTCGATTAAGTTATGTAAAATAAATTAATAATTAATATGTTTTTGTGTTAGTAGTGACTATATTTTCCAATATATAACAGGGAAGAACTAAATTAATGTTTAAAATGCCGGGCTGCGCAGTGGAGATATTTCCAAATGCCACAAAATATGGGTAAATTCTTATCGAAGAAAGGACAAACTTAATTGAAATTGACCTATCCATTTTGAGGATAGTAGTTGCGGGATTCCTCTTAAACATAGACGCAAGAAAAGGAAACTGATTTCCACCAGGTGCACGGGCCTCATTAAGCAAAGAACATAAATCGGTACTTAAATATTTTAGCAGATAAAACAGTAGTTTCCTGTTCCAATACAATGGTCCTTTTGAAGTAATGCCATGCCTGAGCAGGACACGAACATATATAAGAATAAGATAAATGAACAGGAAAATTTGAGTATTTTCAAAGTAAACTTGACAAAAAATGTTTAAATTTACCAAATAAAAAGTAATGTTTTTGTGTACTTACTTTTTGTAAATAAATAATTTGTTTCTGTACACTTATTTTTATTTCACATAATAAAAAGAGATTGCAAGAGAACTACTACGCCCAGAAAGT